CCAAATGCTGGCCAAGTTGGGCACTTCCCTGAGATAAAGGAACTTAGCTGGTAATTGAAGAAACATCTCCAAGTACAGTCTGAGTCTTTTTCTCTGTACAGAGAGAAGCAGAGTTTTTGGTGCCTCTCTCTGATCAAGGAAATGTAAAGGGGGAAACAAGCGGGAAAGGTCTGAGAAAGGGTTGTGGCGAGCAGATGCACCACTGCAGGGCAGATTGGGAACTTCCCCACACTGGACTAGGCTTGCAGGCTAAAAGTTCACCACAACTATACTACAGAAATGGTTAAAGCCACAAATAAGTTGCTGGGACTGCGCAAGGCAACAGAAGGGCTCAGGCATGGGCCATAATATCATGTATAGCATAGCATTCTGTCTGTCTGTGTAGCGTGTGTGAGGTAACTCTCTGCTTTGCTCCAGTCTTCACTGGCACTTCCATACATACAAAACACCTGGTGAACCATACCCTAAGCCCTCTCTATCAACTACTGGGAAAGCACTATTCTTTTCGGGTTGTATTTTTAAAACATAACCATTGACAAAGTCATGAACTTAGTTCGGAACATGCCCACTCCTAACTCAAAATTAACAGAGAAAAAACTAGGATACATGGGCCAGGTCAGCCTTCTCAAACTGAATGACTGCCCAATTTATTCAATTACATCTAGTCATGATGGCTGGGACTGTCGCTAGCTGCACTCCGGCCCATCTAACGTAAGAGCCATGCTGAATCAGACAAGGACCCATGAGTCCAGCATGCTGCCCACATGGTGGCCAGCCACTGCACATGGAAACCCCACAAGCCACATTCAGCCAGACGGAAGGCAGCATAAAGCCATCAGGACTAGTAGCCACAGACAGCCTTAGCTTCCATTAATTTGTCCAATCCCTTGCTAAAGCAATCTAAATCGGTGGCCAGCTTGTGAAAATGAATTCTATCTGGAGGGCACAAGGAGGGGGAAGCCAGGGCAAGAGTTACATACATGCAGATTAACATTAATTAAGTTGTTGGAAGATCCATACCTCACCTGGGACGCGCTCCCTACTGCTACTGGCTTCAGTCGCTTCACCAATGTGTATTATGCCAGTGGTTTGTTGGTAACAAGGGGGTTACTAGGCTAGCTCTCTGTTTTTTGCAAAGATCTTGCCAACCTGGGTCCCTGTTTTGGTGGCTTGCTTGCTTGCTTGCTTTCTTAAAAACTTTTGTATGCCATCCTATTACACAAGATCTCAGGATGGCTTACGATATTTACTATAGAAGTAATCCACAATCTATAAAGTCTGTTTTATTTTAAGGAACAAGGAAAGTTGAAGAGTACTCAAACCACTGTTTTCTTGAGTTCTAGACAGTGTTTTGGAATCACCAAAATAGCCTGCCAACTATTTCCCTAAACATTTTATAGAGTGGTACTTATATATAGCATGCATCAGAGACATGTGAAAAATGCATGAATAAATGAACCTGAAGAAAAGGTTTTGTTGTTCTTAGGCAATTAGCGATGGAACGTTTCATAACAGAGCTGTAACTTTAAGGGGGCAAAGTCTCTGCAGAGAGACCAGATTTTCATGGGATATTAACACCCTAATTTGCTTTTTTTTTAAAAAAGGTCCATGAAGGCAGAAGTCAGTTTGGCTATCACTCTGAACAGGAGTCATGACAAATGCAGTTTCATCTGCTGAAAATTTTATCTTTCAGGCCCTTTGTAATTGTACAAGTTACACCAGACTATTTCTGCAATTTGTGCATGACTGGTACACTGGAAGGAACCGCACCACCAACTCCTGGCTTTAATAGGTGAATAAATTAAAGTGCTATGCCTAACCAATTATCATTCCTCTATTCTTAAAAAAAGCAAAGAAGTAGTAGTCTGTATGTACAGCTAGCTAACAGAAGTGAAATTACCATCGAAAATCCCAAGCCTTTAACATTCTTTCCACAGAGAACATGAACAGTGTCTTGGTCAATGCCTTTCACTCTGACAGCTGTAGAGTAACCTATCATATCTCCTACCAGCAAATGGGTAGAGAGATGTGCAGAACAGAAGTGAATAACTCTGAAGAACAACTGTGAACCCATAAACTGGGAAGGAGGTATGAAATGAAGGATTCGATAAAGGCATTCAACACTGACAAGCAAAGGAGGATGAACTCCAAGGATGTCTTAGCCAAACTTTTGTTCATGAACAGAATAAAGAATATATAACACAACACTAGGGGGAGTAGGACCGCAAGGGACAGCAGCAGCACAAGTGAAGTATACAAGAGGAAATATGAAATAGGGAAAGTGGCCAGAGAGGAGACAACACAGAGAACAGACAACTATTTGAAAGAAAGTAAAAACTGTCCCAGGAGGCAGAAAGAGAAGGCACTGTTGAAAAATGTGCTTTCAGCATGAGTGCTGAAGGAGACACTGAAGGAAGTTACCAAGGCACATGGGTAATGAAAGCAGAGGGGAGTAGCAATCTCAGACTTCATTTGTTATGGGGCAAAGCATATGGTGGTGGCACTTGAGGGTCACTGCCAATGCCTGGAAGACCTGTGAGGAGAACGGTCTGTCAGAAGAAGACAAAGCTTATGAGGGACCATCTAGGTTGATATGGGAAATGTTATGGGTAAAAGCAAATATGTCAGTGCACACTAATGCTAGGTTTGTGGATGAAGGAGGGCACTGGACTGGAGACTTTTGAATAAAATCTAGCAAAACACGGGTGCAATGGAGGAGGCGAGAGCCAGTCCTATTACTGTTGGGGAGATCCAGTGGCTATGGGTGAAAGCCTTGCATGAGAAAAACGAGATTGTATGCGAGAAAAGTTGTCACTGCATGTCTGAAGCACAGTAAATACTGTAGAGGGAGCTGTGAGAAAGCAGTAGAACTCTTAAAAGGAGGGCCATCAGAGTAAGAGGGGTACAGCACTGAGCAGGGAAAAGTTCATCGGATAGTCTGATGAGGCTCACAGATGAAGAGAGGAAAATGACAGTCATTGAAGAGAATGACAAGTTGGAGAGCCGAGAAAAATATCAAGAGAAATGCGACAGGGAAACCCTTTGTGGGAGATGAAAGACAAATGCAATCAGTGTGGGGCAGTGGATGTAGGGTTGTGACACTGAGTTGATGTGGGGATAGACAACAACAGAAGTGGAGCTGAGCTTCAGAATACCAGCCTGGTGCACTATGAGTGGCAAAACGGAGGGATAGCAAGACTATGGAAAGCATGAACTCAGAGCAAAACATCCTAGTGGGAAATGTTAAAAGTAACAATTGGTGGGGAAGTGGTGCAGAACTGAGGCAGTTCAGTTCCTGAAAAAGGCTGGTATGTATGCGGAGAAGAATGAATGAGGTTGTTGACAGTAAGACCAGGGAAGTCCTCAGAGCACAATATGCGCAGAGGGAAGCAGAGGGCCTGGAATGTCATTGCAAGGAGGCACAATAGATGAATGAGAAGAAAGGGACTTGTGAGGATTCTCTCACTGGAGTAGTACCATGCCTAGAAAGAAATACAACAGTTGCCAGTGTGTGTGTGTGGTTGCGGGGGAGGGTTCCTCAATAGTGCTTTGCCACTCTTGGAACCCCAGATGTTGGACTACAGCTCACATCATCCTCACCCAATATGGCCAATGGTCAGGGATTCTAGGAACTGTCATCCAGTTACATAAGGGGATCCAACTTGCTGGGGGACTTTTCTAGAGAAAAGGTAGACTTTAAGGGCAAGTGTGTGAGTGAGAGAGACAAGGGGGTGGGGGTGGGGTGGGGGACACACTGGGTAGAGGTATAGCTTCACTGGTGTTTCATCCTATGTGTGACTCTCTTCAGCCAGGCAAAAAATGTAAAGCTGGCATGTGAATAGGCTAAAGCCAGTTGCTGAGGGAGAGGAAACTGGGCCAGAAGTAAGGTTTGCAAGGAAGGCATGAAGGAGTCCATACTTGTACATCAGTTGTGCTGTAGGCTCTGGAAAGGAAAAATGGTGAGCATGTGCATATTATAGTGGGGGAAAGAGACTTCTAGAAGACTTTGGCTGTGCGCATGGGCTGAGGGCTATTGCCTAAGGACAAGCTTACCAAAAAGTGTATGTCTATGTTTGCATGCATATACACACAGAGAGAAAATATGACACCTGAGACAGAGCTGGGTCTTCAAGAAAGAGGAAGTGGAGCCTTCCAGTACGCAATCCCATGTGTGGAAAAAATGTCTTGAAGGCAGGAGCAGCAGTTGTCTGCATGTACTGGGGGGTGGGGATGGAGAGGATCCTAGAGGAAGGGTTGTCACTGCAGGGTGAGGGAGCAAACAGGTCTTGCACCAGCGTGTCCAAACCAAGGTAGGTTGCAAGACTGACATGACCACAGGAAATAGGGTTTTTTTTTTCTTTTTTAAAGAGAGAAAGAAAGAAAATTAAGGAAAGGCTTCTCCAAACATAGGCTGGGGCTCCAAGTAGGTCTGAAAAGGTTGGAGATGACAGATCTGAAGGCAGTGCTGTCAATGTCTGTCTACTGGGGGCAACTCCTGTGTGGAGCAGAAGGGGAAGGCTTAAGGGGACGTCCCCCCCCCAGCAAGCATGTGTGTATGGGGGGGTATGGGGCGTGTCTGGGAAAGTGGGGCGGGGAGGAGGGATGGAGAGAGCCTAGGGGGGGGGGGTCTTCTTCTGGACACAATGGCCCAAAGGGCCACAGAACTGGGTCCAATGTGGGAAGTCTGAGGAAGGACAATGGGCGGGAAGCGGCGTAAGGGGAGAAGCCATGGGGGGGGGGGCGTCTGGAGACAATGGGGGGGCGTGCGCGAAAGTGCCGGGCGCGGTGGGGTGAAGGGAAGGAGAAGAGGGGGAGAAAGGAGGAAGCGAGCAGGAGGAGGAGGAGGAGGAGGAGGATTCCCTGGGCGCCCGCCTGGAGAGAGAGAGAAAGCGCCGCGGCGGGGGCTGAGGCGGGACGGCGCCCCCCTCCCGGCCCAAAGGGGGGGAGTGGCGGGAGGCTCCCCGGGCAGCCTGACAGGCCGGGGCGGGCGCGGGCCATACCTGCCGTAGATCCCCTCGGTGATGCGGTTCCGCTTGAGCGGCCGCCGGAGTTTGCTGCAGTCGGCGCTCCGCCGCTTCATCCTCCCTGCCGGCCCGACGCGACCCGACCCGGCCTGGCCCACCTCCTGCTGCCGCCGCTGCCCCCCGCCGCCGCTCCTGCCCCACCCGGATCACAGCGACAACATCCGAGCCCGTCCGCGCGGCCCGCACGGGGGCCGGAGGGAGCTCTTTCCGCGCTTCCAAGGCGTCCCCGGCTCGGCCCCCTCCCCCTTTTCTCGCTCCCTCTCTCCTTTCTCCTCCCTCCCCCCACCCGCCTAGGAAACAAAGAAATAAAAAATAATTTCAGATCTGTCCCTCCCCGCCGCCGCGTCCCCGCGCGCAGCCTCCGCGCACCGCACCGCCTCCTTTCAGGCACGGACCAATCGGCGGGAGGCAAACCATGAGGCCGACGGACGGGAGAATCAATCAACGCGGAGCTAAAGGGAAGAGAGGCGGGCGTTGGAACCAATGAAGGGATCAACGTCGGCGAGCCTTGCCCATTCTCAGGATGGCAATCCCCGCCCAGACGCTCGAACGGCGTCCAGAACAGCCGTGATGATAAAGTAATTGACAGATTGATGGCGTGGAGGCCCAATCATTGGACAGAAAGAACCGAGGGAGGTGGGGAAGTCTAACTATCACCCAATGAAAGGTACCTCAAGGCTCTTTTTTTTTTAAATCTCACCCTCCGTTTTTGACAGAAGGGTACGGCCCTTTTGACCTGATTGACAAGACAGCTAGCCAATAAAATCCGAATAAAAGGCTCGCGTAATTCAAGGACCAAAGGTAAAAAGAGGCAAAGAATGGTGAATTACACCGCATTACAACCAAACTCGTTCTCGGGCCCGCCCCCTGGTATGACTGATAGGGAGGTTATGCAATCGAGTTTAGGTTCGAAGGAAAAGCACTAAGGGCGACCAATAGAGAATGGGCAAGGTGAGCCTGGGCGTAACGGCCATGGAAAGTGACCTGGGAAACCGAGTTTGGCCAATCAGGGAGGGATTTCCCTCCCCTGCACATTTGCTGCTCTCTTGCCACAGGGCATTTTGCTAGACGGGCTTTGCTGTGGGCGGGGCATCACAGCCTGGACGATTGTATTACCTGTTTCGGAAAGGTGCATTTCGGATTTTTTTTCTTAGGAGCGACGCAGCTAACTTTGGCTTTTCTGGGACTGAGAACAGATCTGGGATTCTCGAAAGCTTGCAGTTTTGAAACGATCGTTTGTCTGACCTAATAAAGCTACTGAAATAACGTGGATTTCGGATTGTTCGGCTTTTTTGTTAATACTGAGCATGTTTATTTGGAAGTAAATGCACATCAGTTTAGTAGAACTTAACTTTGAATAATGTACTTTGAAATGCCTCAGTCTGACAGCCTAATCCATTGCAATCAATGTTTCCCAGCAGTAAGACCACACTCCTATGCAGGTTTATCTGTGAATATGGCTTACTTCTGAGGAAGCACTGCATACGACTGTGCTGTAGGTTAGCTAGAAGGCAAACACTACTAATTAAAAGGTATAGGAAATCACTTTATAATGTGTGACACCCTGCAAAAGATGATGCGCAAAGTGACAACAGTAGAACAGATTAACTCCAGTGGCAGGGAGTCCCATATGGAGGGTGTTGCTACAAGGAAGGCTTTCTCATAGGAATGCAGGAACCCTGCATAAACCAAGGAGATCTGGGTCTTGCCAGTCCTGGGTAAGAGGCTGCTTTGAGTTCCATCTTTAAAGATATAAATAATAAAAAGAGCCTTGAACTAGTTATCAGTGAAAGTATTCATCCCAAACAACCTAAGGCTTTGGATGAAGATGCTGCAGGCTTACTGTCTTTTGACACCCACTCATGGAGATAACTGTCCATGAATCCAAAGGGCAAGCAGTGAAGTGAGTCTGATAAAGTGGGTGGATTCCAGTCCACAGACCATTTCCAAGACAATATGGCTTGTCTTCCTTTCCTTTGATTCCAATGCAAACGGATAACCAAAAAAGTTTAGCACCTGCATTGTTTTTTCATCCTCCTTCCCTCCATGCAACAGTGCACTTAGTTTCTCTCTTAAAAGTTTCAGATTAAAATAATTTGCCACTGCTCTCTATTCTTGCTTTTGTTACAAGCTCTACTAACCTGGCCTATCCTTCCAATGTCTAAAACAGAAATAAATGCCAGAAGTATCAGCTAAGTAGCTTAAAAGATACCGATAAATGTTCTGAGAACTGTCACTACATTCAGCCTAGTGAAAGGAATTTTGCTCACTCAAAATAGCCCCCATGTTTGAGCCACAAACTTTCACAGTAGGGTCATCTCATCCCTTCAACCACCTGGCCTTCCATTTTCCCCTCCTACTTTGGCCTCCAGCACAAAGATTTATATGCAGTTCCCACCCCCTTACAAATTGCAGCTCCTTGGCAGATGGATGGGCAATGGCCTGGTTCTCTGCAGGTTTACTCAGAAGTAATTCCCAGTATGTTTATTGGGGCCTACTCTCATGTCAAAAGGCAGCAATATAAGGTGATGGTGACCAATGATTACTTGGCAAATCCCATTTTAACTCAGTGAAAGTTACTTCCAGATGGATGCCCATGGCTTTCAGCTTGAGCTAGCAAACCTGTGCAGAACCACCAGTGATCCTGCCTTTGTCCTTTCTTTATTCTGTTTTCCTTTTCCTGCTTTTTCTCTTTATTTCACAATATAGAAACGGCCATGCTACTGTAGCCCCCATAGCTGCTACCTGGAGTTGTGGATTCATGCACTTGCTGCTTAAACCTTCCTACAAATAAGAAGCAAACCAATTCCATTAGGCTCCAGGCCACAGACCTCGCCCCTTTGGTGGAGTATTTCCTTGGCTGGGCTGATAAAGGTATTTCCATTGCCACCAGCACTACCAATGCTGCACAGCTCCCCTGTTCCCTGATGTATATGATCACAGCCATCTCCCAAAATGCTCTTTCTCCTCCCTCTTGAGGTTTATAACCTACCAATGTTAAAGGTCCATCAACACAACTACATATGTCTCTGGATGTGCAGTAGAATGAGGTGATACTGCCCACATCCTAGGGAGGCTATACCACATCAGGCTGCTGCGGGCACAAGAATCACCTTTTAGCTCTTTCTTAAATGGAAAACACCACCTGTAAGTGGAAAATTAGCATGATGGGGAATGGGCCCCAGTCCTTCTCCCAGATGAGACAGGGATTCTGCAGTCAGAAGAAGAGAATGTGCTCTGCCACCATCCCTCCTCCTCCTGTAGGCTAGGTTTGGGGCACAATTCTGTGCAGGCAGGTAAAAAGCACTGTGATGCTCTGCATGCCGGAACCAGCACAGCTGATTAAAGCACCTGCAGCTCCTGACTTCTTTGATGTCCCAACATGCATAGGATTTTGCTTGTGGCTCAATGAGAGGCAGGGTGGGTCTGGGACGCAGGCGATCTGGTCCCCACTCAGCCACGGAACCCGCTGGGCGACTTTGGGCCAGGCACAGACTCGCAGCCCAACCTCCCTCACAGGATTATTACTCGAAGGGTAAGACCGAGACCATTGGAAGAATTATGGAAGCCCCCTTGAGTTCCTTACAAGGAAAAAGGTGGGATATAAATATAACGAATAAAGAGCTAACACAGATGTTAGCATAGGCAGCATACCTGCAAAAGTGACTGTTTGCCACTTGCATGTTCAGTGCAAGGAAGAAAGGTGGGCTATAAATATAATAAATAAGCTACTCGTGAAAGGTGGCTGAGCACTGCAGAGGAGAAAGCCTTCCTCATGGGCCATGCATAAGCCCTTAAGGCTTGTTCCCTTGGGAATAACATCACACTGAAAACCTGCCCGGTACCTGCTCGCTCCCTGTTGCCTGTATGGATGAGCATCATTTCTCTGGTGTTTCTAGAATGACTTTTCCCAGCTTTACTGGGGGATGTTGGGAACCACACCAGAGACCTCCTGCATGCAAGGCATGCTTTCTGACACTGAGCCATGGCCCTTGCCCAGACAGCATCTGATACCCTCCACACAGAAAGCGGCCTTTTCCCAAGTCAGGCCATGGACCCATCTGGCTTAGCAGTGCCTGCTCAGGCTAGTAGCTTCTCTGCAGGGTTTTGGGCAATCTCTCTCCTCGACTACCTGAAAATGCCAAGGAGTGACCTTGTATATGCAAAGCACACACTCCACAGAACTCCAGCAATAACTGAATTTAACGGCATCACCTCTGGTTGCCGCAGCAGAGCAATTACAGAAGGTGTTTTCAGCTGCAGACCTGTGAAGTATCACAAACACTCCATTCCTTTCCCATATTAGGATCTGTTAGATAATTTCATTTTGCCAGCAGGTGGCTTTCTTTCCATTTCAAGCATCTGGTACAAAATCACAGATATGGTCTTGCAGCATATCACCTAGAACCGTGCCTGTTAAGAGAGAGAACATTTTATTTCCATAGATTCGATGCTTTCCCTAACATTAATTTTGATTTTCCTAAGTTCTTGTTTGCACCTTTAAATGTATGTCTCTTTATCTAGGTGATCAGTGCACTACACAACTGGCCTACTCTGTTGATTTCCAAACCATGCTCCATGAGATAACCATCTCTCTGCTATGAGAAATGATTTAGCCAATTAATTAATAAATGGCAGCTATGAGCCTGAACCAAGGTCTGTTCCCAACTTCTTCAAAAAGGAGGACCAAAAGTCATGGCAAACTCTCCTCACCATTTGGCCCACTCGGCCGCTTGGTTTGTGGCAATAGTCACAATTTGTCACCCTAGATGCAGTTCCATCACGTAACAGCTCAGGTAAGCCTCACTAGAATCTTCACAGGAGAGGGAACGAGGTGAGGAGATGAATGTCCCAAGCATTTGTTGCCTGTTGCAAAGTATCTGGGGTGGCCTAGTCAATCAAGACCAATTAGCTTTACAAAAGAGCTCCTCCTGGTGGACGTGATGCAGATCAACACTGGACCTTCCCCAGGTGAGGGGGGGGCTGTAATTGTGGGGGCCACATCGAGGAGTGCTTTCACTTTAAAATAGACCACTGTTTTCCAATGTGGCCTGCAGTTGCGGCATGCGGGACAAGACCAGGGTCAATGCACATCTTGGTCCGGCCAGCCAAAATTGAATCTTGCCTTCCCCTGTGGTATGCCCACCTTTGATGACACAGGCTTCTTTCGTGGTGACTAGTTGACTGATGGTTGGACCCCGTCTCCATACAGGTTGCTCAGCAGCAGAAGCTCCTCAAGACCACCGATGGCACATGCGAATCGCCTGCACTTGGGACCTCTGTTAACTGCCACATTCTGGTGCAGCCACATCCCTCGACTGCAGATCACAAGACTGACGGTCTGAAATATATCTTTGCAGGTCGGCCTGGTCCCTGGGACTGACTTAGATAAAGACTGGGTGGTTGCTTAATGCTGCCTGGGGTATCTTATCGCATTCAAACTTTCTCTACTACTTTCTTTCACTTTTTAAATTTGAGCTTTATGGAGCATTTGTACAGAACGGAAAAATATTGACTCTTGTTACCTTTTTTATAAATGTTGCAGGGAATTTATCATGGCCTCCCAATATCCTCCAAACCTCCGTTTTGGTCTGTCGGGACTCGTGTACTTTTTGGAAGTTGTTTTCCTCTTTTTATTTTACTTCTTTGTTTCTTATGACCATCAACATTCTCAAAGGGATGCTACTCTCTACCCAGGTAAGTTTGCTTATTAGTTATATGGTGTTTGTGATGTTAATTGAGTAAATTCTTACCTGACAGGAGAGATTCTCTCATAATGAGGTCCAGGTATTATGCAGGTGCCTGTATTTTCCCTTAAATGTGACAAACCCGAGTGAATTGTTTGTGGGAGTGCAAGACAGGGTTCAGAGGGAGCGAAATGGCAGAGTAGCTCAGCTGTAAAGGCATTTTTTGCATGCAAATCTTGGGCAAGTACTAGCCCCAGGATCTCCGGGTAATCTTTGAATGTCACGGTAGAAAATTATACTTGTAACAGATTGGTGTTTTCTGAGTGTAAAGCAGGGTCCACTAAGGTCCACAAGTTATTACTTTCCGAACGCATGGTTAGGAAAGAGGAAGTATATCCAGAAAGAGTAGACAACAGGCGGACCGGATTTGGAGAGGGAAAGCAATTGCCAGTGTATAGGTCACTGCTCTTCCATCATAAGGTTCATTATCCTTAACCTAGATCTGGTCCACAGTCTTCTCCACAAAGTGGGACCTGATCACCTAGCATAACACTCTCCCTCCCTAACCCTGTTTATATGGATTCCTATACATTTGCCAAGCCACATGGGAATGCCTTCTGTGTGTTTCTCAGGTGTCTGTGGGGTGTGAAGCGGCTTTGCTAGGCCTGGGTCCACGTTTTTAAATCTGAGGGGGGTGGATTTCCTCCAAGAGGAAAAGATAAAGATGGTGGGGTGGGAGATGGTGGGGTGGGAGAAATGGAGGCCGCTTTGGCTATTTGGTGGTATAGAAATAAAAATCACCATCATAGCAAATGCATTGTAACTAGAAAGGAACTACCAACTGTCTTTGGCAGACTGGAAATGAAGTGAAGAGCCTATTTAATTGGAAGGGGTTTGGATGAGAAAAGTTGAGATCAGCTTTGGCTTCTGTGAAATTTCAATGAAGGCTAGTAATGATGCCAAACTTTGGCTATACAGATATAAATTAATACGTGTAATTTTGATGGAGATTTGTGCCCTATGGACTGGGCCCCCCAAACTTTGGCCTACCAATTTCTGGGGTGGGGTATAAATCCCTCATCCATATGATGGGATCATAGGGGGTTCCCCCTCTCACTGTGTGAGACAGGGGCGCCAAATGTAGGGTGGGAAACATTTGAGGAGGAAATAGGAAGGGATGGGGTCAGGAAAAGGACTGGAGCCAGAGGGGTGTAGTGGTTGAAGTGCTGGACTGGGTCTTGGGAGATCCCAGTTCTAGTCCTCACTCACACATGAAGCCCACCGGGCAACTTTGGGCCAGTCACTGACTTTGAGGCTCACAGGGGTGTTACGAGGATAAAGTGGAAAGGAGGATGAAGTGCAAGAGGAAAAAGGGAGGTATAAAATGCAGTCAGCACAAACTCTTTCCACACGACATGCCTGCTAAACTGTCTCTAAAAACTTGCTTCCTGAAGCACTTTCCCCGCTGGTCTTTCCACCCTTCCTGCTCAGAAGCTGAAGTTGATAAGCCTTGCTTATCATGGGAAAGGCCGAGTCTCTGCTCTTTGCTGATTCCAAAGCTAGCTTTGTGCAAATATGAAGCCTCAAGCATGAAGGTGCAATTACTGCAAAACAAAACAAAAAAGCTGGGGGGGGGGAGTTGAACACACCCAATCAGCTCTGAACAGACATTGAATGGAAACACAGAAACAGCTCAGATGAAAGAGTTTGGTAAACACCATGCCCAGATTCTTCATAAACAGCGAGTCAACAAAGGGTGACAATTGTGGAGAAAAGGTCCGGTGTGGAAGCAGCCTGAATATTTCAAGTTTGGCATTCTTGGCATTCAGGGCCAAATGGCATGCAATGGGCACGCAATGTGAATTTGTGTGTAGCTCCGGGATCTTCCTTTAATTTGCTGTAGTGTGAGGCTGCATCCAGACTAGGATCAGTGCCATTTGGAGAGGGGAGGATTAAACCTTGTCCATCCCAGTGTCAGGGATTTTAATCTCCAATCAGTCAGGTTCATTTGTCTAACCATGAAAGACAAAAACAAACAAAAACCAAAACCTGCCCGCAAGCTCTCCCAGGAAACTGCTTTACTGAAGCACAAAGCCAGTGACACGGAGCTGCCTGCTCATCAGCGCTCTTACTAACAATTCAAACGCTTTTATATGTTCCGAGCCACTTATCAATCACTGGCTGTCTTGATCTCTCCACATCGACACTTTGAACTTTCTTTCTGCCCACTGGTGCAGGCTCTAGTTCTTGGAGGAAGACATTCTCCATGCCCCTCCCGCATGATCGGCCTTCACACCACCATCAGCACCAAGCTCTGGTGACCCTCACTCTTTCTCACCATGGCTTCCGCTTGCTTGCTGGACAGGCAGAGGGGTCAGGAAGCAAGGGGACCTGGACTACTGCTGCTTCTTCCTGCGCTCATCATGGCCTGGGCCAGCGCAAGAGAGACATGAGCAAGCAGGTGGCAGTGGGGAAGGTGATGGACAGGTTGGGGGAACTCTTTTCAGTGGGCCTCTGCTGGGGTTCGGGCTCTCACCAGTTGTCCAGCCCTGCCCACCTCTGAAGGCACATGGCTCAGGTTCTGATCCCACCAGCCTGTTGCTCCCAGATGTTGCACCGCTGTCCTGATGTGCCTCATCCACGTCAACGTTCTCTGCCCTGCAGCGTTTCAAGACGTTAACGTCATGGTGATCTTTGGCTTCGGCTTCCTCCTGGCCTTCCTGAAGAACTATGGCTTCAGCAGCACTGCGTTTGGACTTCTTCTTGCTGCCTTAGGCACACAGTGGGCCGTGATCATGGATGGATTCCTCTTCCACTTCTCGGATGGGACAGTGCGGATGAACCTCCAAAGGTAGCTCACGCCATTTGCAGCGTCTTCTTCCTTGCTTGGATTCCAGGTTGCGTCAAGCCACAGGCACTATGCCTGTGCGTGGATGGGTTCAGCTCAGTAGCTGTGGGGCAGATAGCTGCTTTGAATAGGCTTACGGACCCCTTACTGTTATTTGGTAGGTGCTGAAAACAGCACAGCCTTGGCACCTGCCTCACCTCCCCAGGCAGGGAATTCCACAGAAAGGGGGCTGCCCCTCCTGCTGATCAGACGTGCAGTGGGCCATGGGTCCATGTGCAACCAGCAGGAGAACATCCTCCGAGGTCCTCCATACCCAGGCAGGTGGGTAAGAGAGAAGGCACTCCCTGCATATCCTGTGCTGAGGTTGCTCAGGAGTATTCAAACAGAGAACCTGGTAGGCAGTGCAGTTCCTTCAGCGGAAGAGCAGCTGAGTTGCTGGCTTGACCTCCAGCGCCTGCAACAGCACCTGAGGCAGCCCCACACAGAATCCTGTCCTGACATGCTCCGTGCCCACATTAGCTTGTGGAAGCATGGGCCAGGGCAGAGAGCTGCCGTAGCTGAACAGCACGTCTGTCCACCCCTGCTTCCCTTCCCAGTTCACTTTGGCATTCTTGGGGTGTGTGTGTATGTCTGCACATTGCTTCAGATATCTTTTTTAAGTGGGGAGAAAATTAATATATCCAATACATACTGAAGCTGCATCCGGTCAATGTAAATTCCACAAGGGAAAGGTGGAAGAGCTGCAAAAGGTCTGCAGATGGGGAGTCTGCCAAGCCTTCCACCTGGAAGCACCCAACATGAGGGACGAAAGTGTGAAAATGCAGTATGTTTCCAGGGGAGGCATGGCTGGGTACCTCCCAGGGGCCCACAGCCCAACAGGGGCCCACTGACAAGAGTGCCCCATCTTGCTCCTCCTCTTTAGTACTCCTGCTTGCTTGTTCTCCTGCTTCTCCCTCTTGTCCAGCAATGCTCATGGTGAGGAGGGGGAGCAGGAGATGCCATGGTCTGCCTGCTACAAAAGAGGGCAGAAGGCCTCCTAATATGAGCAGGAGGGAAGAAAACCCCAGAACATTCCATGTTCTAAAGCCAAACCACTGTGCATATTTCTTCCTGCTATTCTTCCTACATGAAAGCATCATAGAAGCTGTTATGAGTGTCACCACAGTGTTAATCTCCTCTGGAGCTGTTCTTGGCAAAGTCAACCTGATGCAGCTGGTCTTCATGGCTATGGTGGAAGTGACGGCTTTCATCGTGAACAGATGGCTAGCTGAGCATTTTCTGCAGGTACTGTAAGCCACTCTGCAGCTGGGATGAGGATGCCTCCTTTGCTGTGGAGACATCGCTCTTTCTCCCTTGAACATGTCCAATACTGTATGCCATTTTTCTCCGACTTGATGCACTCCAGATGTGCTGGGTTGCAACTTCCACCATGCAGGTAAGGGACGATCAGAGTTGTGGTTCAAGACATCCAGAGGGTACCACACTGAGGGAAGTCTGCTTTGTACTATCTATCTTGAGCTAGCCAAAATGACAGCTCCACCATATGCAAGGGGGAGGTATCAACAGGCATAGGGCAAACCCTAAGGTGGGCAAATGGACCAAAGAAAAGAAGTAAGGGGAGCTCACCTCCAGAACAGTCCAGTGAGGAGGGGGAGGGAAATGGAATTGAGTATAATGAAAGAGGGCACGGCTGACTGGCTGAAACCCTGAACACTCCACAGTACAACCTTTCTGAAAAGCCATTTAAGGCAGTGGCCATCACCACACTCTCTGGCAGCAGATTCCATTGTGTGAGGCATCCTACCTCAGTCTAGCCAGAAGCTGAAGTCCCTCTGTTTGATGTGCTTGGAAATGCACAGGTTGAGCAGGGAAGAAACAGGCATGCAAGCTGGCAACACTCATCCTTAAAGGAGTGGCAACCCCCCGCCCCCAAAGCAAACAAAGGCCCCCAGTTCCTCTGCCCAAGATTGCTACTTGCCAGCTAACTCCAGAACTTTCTTTTGCTTTGTTTTGTTGTTTTATCTTTATCAGACATTTAGAATTATAGCAAATAAAATCAGAGCTAATAATACATGCCATGGATGATTTTTCCTCCCTGCAAAACAGGGCTGAAGCCCAGTTCAAATTAAAACCCTGCACAAAGTCTAATTTTACTTGCCTGTCAAATGCCGAATCTGACTGTGGCAGATGCAACCATTCATGCCACCATGAGCCTCGCATGGAGCTGCTTAATGCTACTGAATTGCAGTGAAGGCTAAGGAGTGTTGGGGGGCATTTGCAGTGGGGCACTGAAGGAGAAGAATTAAAGCACAATCCTAGCGTGCGGAGTCAGAAAAAAATCCAGCATCGGATTTGTTGGATACTTTCCTGTCTAAAGATGCACAGGACCATGTTCCTCTTCCTCCTTCCCCTGGAAGTTCACCCACACATGTCCCAGAGTCCACCCCATTGTGGCTCCATATGATACATCCCCTGTTTTTCTTGTCTGCAGATTAAAAGCCATGTAACCCTGATGCATGTCCCTTTATTTGGGGCCTACTTTGGCTTGATGGTCTCCTGGATACTCTACCATTCCTCGCTGAACAGAACAGTTGAGAAGGAAAGCTCAAGGCCTGTCTCCAATCTGTTTGCAATGCTGGGTAAACTGCTTTCTCTACTTTTTAAAGTCAACTTATAAAATCAGCTGAAATCTGGATAATACTAAAACATTATTAATCTGTTTTGTAAGCTGTCCAGAGACACGATGTATTGGACAGGTCAGAAATACCCCAAATAAATAAATAAACATGTCATTTATGCAATACATATATGTAGCAGCTGGGAAAACAGTAATAGCTTTTCCATGAAAGGCCAAAAGAAGCAGGAATGCTTTAAAAACCCTTTGAAAAGTATTCATAAATTTGATTGGCTAACCTTCCTGGTGAACTATGGGAATTCTGTGGATGTAATCTATCTTGACACCAGCAAAGCTTCTGATAACCTGTTCTATGATATCCTGATTAGCACACTAGCTAAAAGCGAGCTAGATGGAACAACTAGCAGGAGGATCCATAGTTGGCTGCAGAATTAGCTTCCAAAAAGTACCCATCAATGGCACTTCTCCAAGTGAGGAAAAGTAATGAGTGGGTACCATATGGTTCAGCCCAGGGGTTAATGCTTTTTAATATTTTCATTCATGATTTGGATGATGAGGTGTGAGGAATACTTTTGAAATGTGGGTGGGATACACTTTATCCTCCAAGATGGAAACTAAATTCAAAGCTGTCTTGATAGCTTGGAGCACTGAACTGAAAGCAACAGAATGAAATTTAACAGGGACAAATGCCAAGTTCTGCAGCGAGGAAAAAGAAACCAAATCTATTGTTACAAGATGGGGGATATTTTACTCAATATTACTATAAACGAGAAGGATCTTGGAATTGGCATGGAGAAGAGCTAGTGGCAGGCGAGTTGTTAGCCCAGGGTTCTTCAGCCTCTTTCAGCCCAAGGCCTACATTTCATTTGGAGAAGCTCTGGGGAGTTACATTCCAGGAATGGGTGGGGCCCAAATACCAGGGGGGAAAAAAAGGAATTACTCCACTGCATCCTGATTAGTAAACGAGCTAAAATGGACTTGGTGGAACAGTACAGAATGTGTTGCAGCTTGAAATTCTTCCCGCCAGTAGCTTTGTCTTCAGTATTTTAGATGGGGGAAACTGTACAAAGGCCAGGAAAACTGCTGGCTGGGGCAGAAGGGGGCAGAGCTGGGGAGAAACCAGTGTGTCTTTTCTGGGCAACCCCAGGTCAACTGGGTTTGGCCTGTAGGTCTGAGCTCCTGCACTCCTGCCTTGACTCTTCCTTCTTCCACTTCTTCCAGGCCCTCCACAATTATTATTCAAACTACTACTTCCTGTCCCTCCACAATAAATAGGCAGCCATGATGCCATTACCTACCCTTGTGTGCTGTTTGGCCGTTAGTCTGATTTTGCAATAGGGCATTAAAAGCTCATTCACTTTTTTTAAAGCCTTTTTGTTACTTTCCAAGCACTTGCAAATCAAAAGCAATTATATCTTTGATTAAGCACTCCCGGGAGCCCCTAGGAAGTAATGCAAGCCAGTCAGGAACGTCAAAGACGAACGACAAAACAGCCCGAGTGAACAAGCCCGAGTGAACAAATCTGTGTCTCGGCATCAGGGAACAGATGGCGAGAAGGGGGAACGTATGAGATCCTGGAGCTAGCATTTCCAGAGGCAGGTTCAGCACGAGAGACGCTCATCCCTTTGACTTGCAGACAGGTGAGGCGACCTGGCAGTCCGCTCTTTGCTGCGCTTAGTCCACACAGACGCCTGCCTGCCTCCCAGGCCCTCAGTAAATCACAAGTCAGCGGCACCTGTTGTTTCCTATCAAACATAATACTGCAGGGAAGATCCAGTTACAGGTCTCCTTGGTTTGAGGCTTGTTCCGCCACCCACTGATTGCTAGGCTGAATCTTGAGTTTGGATTTTAAAAAAAGAGCAGAAGCCAAAGCAGAGATGATAAACAAGTGGTAGGCAGCCATTTCCTAGTTCTGCTCCTGGTATATGTGTAGGGGAAGGCCAAAGGCAATATAGGCAATCTGTCTTTGAAGGGTGCCAGGTGCTGCAGAGACAGCCTGAACTAGGTGGCTTGTTGGCTACCTCTGGGATTCCAAACCAAGTTAGATGTGGCCACAGATCTGTGCACTTCCAACATGGGACTAACCCAATTACATAAAAATGGCAGGAGGGGAGAAAACCATTTTAAAAGCAAATGGGTGGGCGGATTGAAGAGAGGTAAACCCTCCACCCACCACCTTCCTTTTCATAGTCCTTCCTCCTTTCTTCCAGCTCACTCACTTTCGTACTGGGGTACCAACTGGAAATGGAAGAGCAGGGAGAGGGAAGACAGGGAAGTCAAGCCAGACGTGTCTTGGGGAGGAAGGTTTGGCATTCCTCTGCCACATGTCCTTTAAAGATTAGGCCCCCATCCCCTTCTTTCTATATCACTGGGGATGTTTGATCGGATCCCTATTGGGATGCCTAGTTCATCCCTGACTGCTCAGCACGATGCATGTTCAGGTCTCAGGAACTTCTGCCAATAGCAGAGACAGTTAGGCTTCACCACTGGTAGGCAGTATGGAGGTGGGGAGGGGTGAGCTTTAGTGGGATGGTGAAGTAGCTCACTTTCCAGGTGACCATCCTCCATTTGAAGGGTTAGCAGAGGACACACCTCTGTTTGGACAGCTGTACAGTTCAAATCCCATCTGAAGATAAAAGGAGAGCTTTGAGTCTTAAAGCTGATCACACAGGCATAATGTGTAGCAACACTAGAAGAATGGCAAGAAGGTTAGTGAGGTCCACCAGGTAGTGTGGGGATCTTTCCCAGAGTCCAAAAGCCAGGATAATTTCTTGAAGGCATGCCAAGGCCTCATGGCCTTCAGCTTGTTAGGAAAAGCACCCTGGAGCTGCTTTCCCCAGTCATTTGGTAGAAAAGGGCTGCTTTTGCTGTGAGAACAAAACTGTTTGCCTTAATGAAGCAGCTTTGTGCCCCCACTTCCATTTCTCAAGAAGTGATGTTGGCACCTGTGTGGCTCTGCGACCTGTGGGGGACAGGGATGTTATGAAATCCGTAGCAAGAGTATTTTTGTTCTCTGTCTTGGGGGAGGAATTTATGTTCAGTCGCCCAATCAATTCTGCAGGCATACCCTGGCCTATTCAGGGAAGCAACATGGCCAAAGGGAAAGGCACTCTGTGCTTTCTTTTGCTTGTTCATATTCTGTTTTCATTATATTCAATAACCTGTATATAATATTTGGCAGGAGGAGACTGTTGGGGTGAAGACTGAGGTAGAAAAGTGATTATTTATAAGCATATTCATAGGCTGCCTATACTGCTGAGGTCTTCTTTGTCTTGAGCTGTACTGGTTTTTATTATTTTACTTTCATAAGCCTTGTACCTTGTGAGCATGAATAGGTCACCTGAGGTTTGCTCAAAAAGGATCTGAAGGATTACAGAGGAGACTAACAATTGCTCTTTGTTTTTTGGGATCTACCAGGTACTTTATTCCTTTGGATGTTCTGGCCCAGCTTCAATTCTGTGCTGATAGAAGACAGATCAGGGAAGCTGAATGCGGTCTGCAACACTTACTTTGCCATTGCTGCAAGTTCTGTTGCTGCCTTTTCAATCTCAGTGGCTACCAGCAAAAATGGAAAGCTCAGCATGGTGAGAAAGAAGAACCCACTGTCTGTTGTGGTAGAGGGGGCTTTTCTCGAAAGCGTCATGTATCAAAAAGAGATGCTGGCATGTGGAGGTCTTCACTGGGGTTGGGTCCATCATAATTAGTGGCACCACTAGGACTGTACCACTGGGCATAGGTCTGGGGCCCTGCGATCTGTGGGCCTCCAAATGCAGCCTTCACATTTTTTAAAACTTACCACTGAAGTTGGGTGCACTGCGGAGCAAAGCTGCACTGTGCTGGTAATCTGCTTCTCCACAGGGTCTTTAGGCCTGATGTGGGCTCAAAATCACCTGAGAGAAAGCAAGGCATCTCTTCATATAAGCTGTACTTTGTGGTATCCAAAATTTTACAAGTTTGGCATATGTGGAATATTCCCCATAGTTCTACAGTGCTTATGCTCTGGAATTCCCTACCAGCCCTCAGGGTTTTTGGCACCTTACTGAAAACATACTTTTCCCAGCAGCTATTCCCAGGAAGGGAAGGTTATTTTGCACAAAACCACATCATCTTAAAGAGGACAGAGCTTAGAAATGCCTTTAATGCAAACAATTCATAAATAGCATTAAATAATAAAATACAGAGAGTTTTACAGAAACAAACATATTTAATCAAGTGCAATCCCACTCTGTGTTCAACTGCAAATACACAGTACTTTGGGTAATGTGTTTACTGGCCTCTGCATAAGAAACATGATGGATTGGGGTCAAATATGCAGGTTAAGCGAAAGGCAAATAGGCGAGACAGAGTAGGTTCCCGCAGCCTGGAGGCTTACCTCTGCCCCTTAAAGATCACATTGGCTCCCTCTGCAATTCTGAAATTACTAAAAAATGTGTTTTACATGGAGTCCAAAATGGCATGTGCGCTCGCTCGCTCGCTCTCTCACACACATACACACGAGGGAGGAGACCGTGTGTGCATGCATGTGCACAAAACTACGAGTGCCTTACACCAATAAAACGCTGTTGCTTGGCATTTCTCATGTCTTGATTTCTTCTGTTGTTCATCCCATAGGCCCACATCCAGAAGGCAACCCTGGCAGGCGGGGTGGCTGTTGGTTTTTCAGCTTCCACCATCCAGCAGCCTTGGATTGCATTGCTTTTGGGATTGGTGGCTGGTGTGGTTTCTGTACTTGGCTCTGCCTTTTTACAGGTAAGTGGTCCCGGTTTCAAACCATTCCATTTCTGACTGTGGACAATGGGAAGACTTGCACAGAGCATCTTGGAGGAGGGTGGCCATGCACCCTCGTTTACAGAGAGCCAGAAGGGCTACCTGAAGGCATCTCCTATTTGAAAGGCAAGCCTCTCCAAGTCTGCTTAACACATAACACGAACTATAGAAAAGGAAAGCAGAGCAGAGCCTTGATGCACCTGGATAGCAGTGGGCTCACCAGTGACTGGTAGAATCAGGCTCTACATCAGGCAGGCCAGGGGAGGAATCCAGCAGGTGAGTCTGATATGCAGGCAGATGGTCAAGTGCAAAGTTTCAGTCCAGCAGAGGATCAGGCTAAGGCTGGAACGGCCAAAAGAGCGGTCTGAGGCGCAGCTAAGGTTGAAACACGGGAGAGTGGTCCAGTAGAAGCACAGTCCAAACAGCAGAGTCAGCCAGGACTTTGAACCTTCTTGCTACTGACCTCCAAACACAAGGGAAGGCAAGTGAAAATGCCACACCAAAGTTGGAAAAAAGACATTGTTTCAGGAAAATCTAGGCTGAAAGCAAAGGCATCGATAGCTGGAACTTCCTGAACTCCACCCAAAGTTCAGTACACACTCTTTGCAAAAGCCCTACTTATGGGGAGGGCCTTGCTCTCAACGAGTCTCCTTTGTAACTGAGCATTTCACTGTGGAGCTGTCTGTGTCTGGGAGCTCAGCTCTTCCTTCTCTTTGGATTTCTCTAGAGGCGCCACAACAACAATCTTTCCCACTAGAATGGGACGCATTGCATTGCTATTTAAATGATAGTAATTATATTCACATTTTCATGTATTATTAGAAATGAGTCTATATATGTCGCAAAACTTGTGCCCTCTTCCTTAGTGATGCATCGAGTGGCAATGTGACTTGGAGAGTGGCTGGAAGTATTTGGAACTAGAAATCTTCACTCTCTTCGTTGAAGGAGAGCTGGGTTCTTTTCCAGCGTTGCTACCCAAAGGTCCTCAAGAGGAAGATGCCAGGGATTGCACAAGCATTGAACATGCCTATGGGCACTCATGTTCTGCCACTGGCCCGCCACACTCTGCACTTCACACTGCTATGGTGCACTTGCCACCCACTGTTCTGTTGACAGCCAGCCACATGCCATGAGATACACTTTCTGATTTGCAATTAAACGCTTATTTCTCTCTCTCTTTTTATGTCCCTTTCCACCAAACTCAGAAATACATGAATACAGCAGTCAAGATACATGATACCTCTGGAATTCATTCTACCTTTGGCTTGTGCAGTGTATTTGGAGGGATTGTCCACGTCATTCTTACCCTGATAGAAAACCATGAAAACCTATCCGAGTAGGTTGAGTCTGGCTCTTATGCATTATCCTTGGTTAATTTCTCAAAAGCACAGAGCTGGGAGGGGCCTCATCAGTCACAGCCCCCCTGCTGAATTGGGAAGTCAACTGCTGTGGCACCCTGTGGCCTTAAATGTTTTGTTTAAAAAATACTAATTGCTGTTTAGCAGGGAAACTCTCCAACAGTGGCACAGATGATGGCTTTCAGATTGGATCAGCACACAGAATCAGTGCTTCCTGTGATTGCTAATGCCTGCCTGGGTGTCCAGGCTGCTGGGCGGGCGCACCATTTCTCCTTTCAAATCCTGCTGGCTAGGAAGCTGTTTCATCCTGAAACAGGCCATTGGTCCCTCTGGCCCAGAGCAGCAGCACTGACTAGCAATTTCCAGGGATTCAGGCAGGATTCTTCCTCAGCCCTACCGAGAGAAGTAGTGAGCACTGAACTAGGAACTGACTGCATGTAGGTCAGGTGCCCTGTCACTGAGCTATGATTTCTCCTATGAAAGCTCTGGTCATTGTAATTGGGGAGTGGGGAATGGCTGAATTAAATAAGTAGTTGCCTTGTATCCAATCAGACCATGGGGCCATTGTTTGCCTGCACTGGCAGCTGCTCTCCAGGCCTCCAGGCAGGAGTCCTACCAGCCCAGAGATGAGCATCTGATGCAAGGCATGGCCATCTCCGCTGTGCCTTGCATTTTTTGTGGACAGCTGTTTTCAGCCATCTAAATTTAGGGGCAGAAGGATGGGGCACCACTTGGAAAAGATGCAACTCTGGGGTCCCCCTCCCTGGGGCTCAGTTGTGACACTGTGTGGGCATACGAGGCAGCAGGCAAGGTCTTTCTGCTGTGGTTGTGAGAACAGCATGGAGGCCTGGCCTTTAGAGCACTGAGGCTGCTCAGACTCTGAAAAATCCTATGGTTTCCCAGATGATGCCGGAAGACCACAGCATTGTGCTGTGGTCCCCCCCCCCCTTCTCCATCCCTTTTTCCTTGTGTGTTACATCTTTTTAGACTATAAGTTGATAGGCAGGGACTGCCTTGCTTCATGGACTCAGTGTAAGCTGTTCCAGAAGCCTTTTAGCATATGAAATGAAAATACTTTTAAATAATGCTTGAACAAATGGGAAATGCATTATGGGTATAACACAGGGCAAGTAAAGAACTTTACTTAGCTTTTACATGCCACTTGTCTTTGTAAAGGTTCACTTTAGAGCTTTGCTGTTTGAGAACGGTTTCTTTGTGTTGTTATTTTCAGACTAGGCTACTTGGCCTTAATTGAAGTTGGTGCTCTCAGCCTGAGCTTGGCCATTGGTCTGGCAAGTGGTGTTCTGACAGGTACCGCTCTATGGTTTTCTTTCCTACATGAATACCTAAATTCTGTTACATTGGAGTTTGAATTCCATGCTCATATTGCATATTGATCCTGCAATATTGATAATACATATTTGATTATTTCTGATTGGAAGAGTCGAGTGTCTAATAAATTTATAATTTTTTGTTAGGTGGGGAATGGAAGAGGGAATGACTAACGCATCTTCCCTCCTTGAATAGGGAAGATTTTCTGATTATTCTAGGGATATGAACTATGTATATTCTGCCTCCTTATGGTTACTTCAAGGGCTAGAAGGCTAGGATTTTTACAAAGTGGTATCTTCCCTATATCAAATGTTGCCCAGACTGGCTGTTCTGGTGCCATTTTTCCAAAATTTTTATCACCATCTAAATAACATCTACTGTTAGTCTTTGTCTCTTACTTTAAAATTCCATGTTTTAACTGCATTTTAGTTTTAATAGTTTGCATTGTTTTAAATTGTATCTTATTTGCTTGTGCAAAGAACTCTGTTAGAGAGTGCCGATATAAACATAGAAAGAAAGTGGAATGCTGAAAGGCATTATGGAAACTTGCCTCCATTTGCTAAGAATGTTTCTTCCTAGGTTTCATCTTGAAATGCAAATTATGGAAAGCCCCTCCTGTAAGAAAATACTTTGATGATCAAGCTTATTGGGAGGTAAGATTCAACTGTACATTACTTGGCCAAATCTGGAACCAAATTGGACTGATTCAGGAAACGGGGTTTCTTTGAAGCAGAATGTGCCTAAAGTTAAATGCTTCTAAAGATACCAATTGGCACAGACAGTGTCTGCCCCAAAACTCACAGGGTCTTGGTTTAAAGGTTCTACATTGTATGCTTGCCCATAGACTTCTAGATGCACTCAGCACAGAAATGACAAATCATTTACTTGTAAGTTGCTTTGACCGCAAAGGAGTGGTCTTCTATGTAAATGCATTTAGTAATGTCTTATTTAAAAAATAAGAGTTCCATAAAAGGAAGCAATTCAACAATGTTTCATTATCTGTTTGTCCTCTCATGCAACCGTATTTCCTTATTTTCAGTTCCCCCATGCAGCTGTTGGATACTGAATACAGCCATCAAAACTGCAGGAAGTGAGTGTTTACTCCACAAGAATATGTTAAAATGACACTTGCTTTATTAAAACTGCCAGAGGTGGTATATTTACCTTTTTGTATGGAATATTTGTAAGGCTAGATGAATGATATCTATACTATTATTTAAAGAAAGCTGCCCTCCATCTTCTCTTCTCCAATGTGTGCACTGATCCAAGTCACATGTGAAGATCAACAATGGGCTATTCATGGTTGGTTGAAACTATGTGGGCTGCCTCCCATCCATTCACAAAACTCCAAAATGCAGTGTCCCTGGGTTGTTTTCTGTGATGTGCAAACCTGCAACCAGGGTTGTTGGAGTAACAACCCAGTTTAAGTCAAACCATGGTTCTTGGATTGTTTTGTTCACTGAAAACAAAGTGGAAGCAGTGAGAGGCTGCACACTCCTACCTGTGCAGCCTCAAAAGCTGATGAGCTAAGTAAAACAGAGATGGTGGTTATGTGCCAACTGGGTAGCTGTTTACCATTAAGATACTTAGGATTTTAATGGCAGTGAGGAAAAGAGGAAGAATGTAATGTTAGATCTAAGTACTAACTCTGGCTCTCCACACTCTGTGCTCATGGATTGGTTTTCACATATTCTGCTTTCATTTTCCACTCTGGCCTTGATTGCTCTTCACATTTACAGTGTAGCCTAAGCTATTCCCAACACTTCCTGAAGCTGCATATTATGCGGGCAGACTGGTAGTGTGAGCAAGTTCTCTTTGAATGAGGCTTTGCCATTACTGACCTTCACATTCTGAGGAACCCCAAAAGGAAGACTGCTATCTCAGGCACCCCAGTTGGTGTGCTCCAGACATGTTGGACTACAGCTCCCATACCTGCCAGCATGGTCGTTAGGTAGGGAGGAGCGGAACTGTACTCCAACTCATTTGCAAAACACCACTTGGAAAGCTCAGCTGTACCACCTTATTACTGGATAGTAGGCATAATTCCCAGGCATTTTTCTATTACATTTTAATGCATAGAATTAACATTATCCATTAAAAAACTATCCACACAGAATGTCAGTCACATATTTCCATATTCAAAAATATCTGTTCTATTGTGAAGACACATCACATATAAAGAGCTGTAAAACAAATAGTGTTTAATATTCATTTATAACAAAAACATTCAGTAAGAGGACCTCAAAGTTCTCTTCCTTCTCAGTTTTACATTTTAGTCACATGCTACAATATTTAATGTCAAAAGCTGAGAGTAGAAAATAGCCTTAAATAGAATGAAAAATAATGGAAATGTCTTTCATGATTTTTTTAAAATGGGAGAGTTTTCTTCGTCACTGATACTAGAGCACAAGTGTTACAAAAAGAGAGTGGGTAATTAAAAAATAGCAGGACAGATGCTCTAGGTCACTTATTGCCACAAATCTTCAGTGCGACCAAACTTAAAGACCAGACCTCTGTTAATGAAAGAGAGAGACTAGCTTAACTCCACCAAATATTAAAGACATTTACATCCAAAAGAGTAGAGCAACATCTTTATTTTACTGAAATGCAGGGTAAAAACTTTAAGGTATATTCTATGCAAGTCTAGACAGAAAAAATGCGTACAATTCCAAGCATGCGACCAATAGCATACTCTACAAAAGCCTGCAAGTGACTTTTAATAGCATTCACAAATCTGTGTCTTACAAGAATACTGATATTATTGGGATAAGTGCAAATGGGCCCTATCACCTGCTGTGAAGAATCATGTAATGCAGAGAAAAACTGGTGGAAGCCATTAATTTAGACACTGTCTGAAAATAACCTTTTACACCTTGCTTCCCTTGGAAGATTGCTACAACCAAGTGTAACTCCAGTGGTATTCTAAGCCACAAATTTTACCTTGCAGGAACTTTCCTTCTTTTCGTCCCAACTTGCTCTTTTAGCATGCTAAACCTGTACTCTTTCCAAGCTCTTTGCAGCATGTGATCCATTCTCTGAGCGTCCCTGATGCCAATTTTATGCAGTTTTAGGCAACAAATAATAATTCTTTTCTCTGGAGCTTTTAATTAAAATGTAAACATGTGATTTTAGGGCTTTGACTGTCTTTATTTTATTAGACTCTGATAAAACAGCTGCTTTATCTTGTTTGATGCTGCTTTTTGCCTTTCTGTTTTTGTATGGTGACTTACTTTGCAAATTACAGAATAATAACCAACAATTTATGTGAGTTGCCTTGTGAGTTTTGTATGTAAATTGAAATATGGGATATAAATGGACTTGTTTATATATTTAGGACAACTTAAAAAAAAAGGCTTACATTTTTTATGCCTCATAGTGGCACCCTCACACACCATCTCTGAACCTTATACCAGTACCGTTCTTTTTCAGCACTGCTCTGAACCCTTGTTTGCTACTAAAGGTTCCCAAAACCTCTAATGGTCTTCATGAACCTTGGCTATAGAGTAATCACAAATGTTGATCCACATTAAACTTAAATACAAGCAAACAAAGAAAAGAGAGGAAAGTGTGCTTACCCAAAAAAGATAAAAGCATTCTGGAAGAAGACTGCTATTCCTGGGTATATTGATGGTTTTTCTGTTTTATCTGAGAATAGAGTGGGAGGGGAGTGCTTCATTTGGTTTTCATACATTTATTCTTAGCCCATTCTCCCAACACAATCTAACATTTATTTTGTAAATTTTGAGGGCATCACTAGATGGCTTCTTAGGATACCATTTCTATAAGATCTGGCAAATAGGTTTTGTTTATCTGCTGTATCATACTGCATTTCTATCATACTTGTTCTCAAAATGGTTCACAGTAACAAAACAAAACATTATATTTAAAGTTGCAATCAACAGCCAGACATCTTAAGAAAGCAGAAGTTCAACTGGAGTTATAGATAAGAACAGTCGACAAAAAAGAAAGAAAAGGGGCAGCTACTGATGGCTCATGCATATCCTCTGAAGGTCTCAGCTTCTGAGTCCAGGTGCTGAAGTTGCAATTCTAAATATACTTAACTAAAGAAGAAGACCCACTGAACCCAAGGGGACTTACTTCTGAGTTACAGATTATAACTTTGGTTTCTCACATTTGTAGTACCCCACCTTTCTTCAGTAGACCAAGGAGTATATGGAGAGTTCCCGAAAACCTGCCATCCTAGCACTGGCCAAATCTAGACTTGCCTAGCTGTGGTAAGGTTGCTGCATGATGAGCCTTCAGACCGTAGCTCTCCAAAGAAAATGGAAGAGGCTGCAGCAGTTAGCACAGTTTTGCCTTTGGAAAAGTTTTGCCTCAGGGCCATACTTTGGGCAGAAGTACAACATACCGGACATTTTGTACACTGTTCTGAGAGCTTTTTGCTAATTGACCGGTTTAGAAAAGCCATAAATAAATAACTTATTTAGTCCCTTGAGTGTTCATGTCCCTCTAGAAGGCTTTCATAAGCAAAAGAAGGAACACTGCCCCCAATCTAAAATCACACGCTAAGGTGTTAATTTCAAAAGGTAACCCTTAACAGTGAACCTACCATTAATAACATAGCCTCCAAAGAGGATCCACATAGATGCAATCAGAGATCCAAATGCCAACATAAAACCGATGAACAGCCAGATGCGAGCACCTTAAAAGAACACATTCATCTTTATTATTTAAATGACGGCTCCGTTGTTAAGAAATAGTTTGCCAGAAGATGGCACAAATAAGCTTCCCCACCAGAACTCCATAAAGCCCATGTACATCATCGCCACTACCACTGCCTTTCATCTTGCAAGGAACTTGAGGCAGCTAACAAGCTTCTCCATTTTTTCATCCTTGCAACAACAATTCTGTGAAGTAGGTGAGTCTGTGACTACCCCAAGGTCACCCAATGGGCTCCATTACTGAGAACCCAGATCACCTCAGTCCACCACTTTAACCACTATACCACACTGGCTCTCTTACATGGTAGATTGTTTTGTGACTGAAAAAACTCTTGAACACACAGATATTTCAGAACTGTACAAGCTTGATACATCATATCTTTTAATTCTCCTCCCTTGCAAGACAAGCATTTTTCCATTCTCAATTTACTCTCTCAAGAGTGTGCAAGGCAGGGAGACCTAAGTTCAAATCCCTGTGTGGCTATAAAATATAAATTTTTGTAAACTACATAATTGTGCATTTGCTTCAGGTTCAATTTCAGAAAAAACCAGCTCTTCCTGTTTCTGCAGTAGCCAGCCATGGAGCACACTGTAAGTTTGTCAGTCAGTCAGTCAGTCAGTCAGTCAGTCCGTCAGTCTACCTACCTACCTACCTACCTACCTACCTATCTATCTAGAGAATTTGTATGCTGTCCCATCGCATAGCCTCGGGGCGGCTTACATAAAACAAAACAAAACAAAACAAAACAAAACAAAACAAAACATAATACACATAAAATCCAGATCCACCCTGGCTGCAGATTAAAACCTATAAGCTGATATTAAAAGTTATTAAGATATTGTTGAAATAAAAAGGTCTTAACCTAGTGTAATATAATTAAAGCCAACTCCCACCCATCCTTCACAGAGATTTCTTTTTAAATTGGTTTTGAAGTTGTTTACCACCCACCACAAATGAGGCACCAAATGAACATCAGAGTAACTGAATGCACATGCTGTGCTTTAACACCCCCCGCCCCGCAGAAGACAGTCCCCAAAGCAAGAAGAAGTAGAACAAAGCAGATGTTTTGTTCCTGACTATATGTGGCCAGATTCTGTAAACTGAACAAATCAATCTTTTATCCTTATTTGCCTATCTATGGGGAAAAATAGAGTGTTCCTTTATTTTATCCACGTTTATAATAAAAAACGAGCTTGAATGGATGTGTTCGAAGTAAGAGGGAGCACTGTACTTTAAACAAATATTTTTGTGTTGATTTTCATAGGAAGAATAATGAAAGGAAAAAAAATAAATGCCACAGTGAGTGTATCATAAGGAGTCAAAATAAGTTAAGGCAACAAGGACACAAATAGAGCAATAAAAGTAATCCAAGTCCAGGAAACAGGGGGAAAATGGTTGGATTACTTTGGAGCAGTCACAACATTATATAACAGCCCGATTAACTTAAAGCAAATTATATGCAGAAGATGTGGAAATCAGATTGCTTCAGTGCTTAGCAACAGTTGTAACTTTCACTCATGAAGATTACCTGTTTGCCCAAGGCAACCTTCACTGTAACTATCCCCACGCACTTGCCCGTTGGATACTGCATTGATCCTGCATGAATAAAACAGAAGATAATTCAATGGAGGCACTTAGCATTTAGCATCTGAATGGCATTTCTGAGTGCTCAAAGTGCTTCACATGTATCACCTTGTTCTTGCTGGAACATCACCACTCATGGTACAGGTTGGGAATCCAGGCCACAGTGACTTGCCTAATGCATGGTCAGGCCTGGACGAGGGACTTTCCGCTTTCTAGATCAGGGTTGTATCCAGTGGAGCTTTGCTTCAAGAGACACCAGCCATGATGGGTTATGTTGTTCAACCCTGGATTGCTTCTTGCAGGGTGCTTTGTTTTAGACAGCAAGCCACCCTGACAGCACACGGCTTTTCTAGGGATTCTTTGATCTACAATGGGTTTGCATCATCCAAACTTGGAAGAGCCATTCCATTGTGGGTTGCAGGGATTGGATCCCTGCTGCTCTTCACAATCTTATCGATGCCATCACCAGTGACAACCCCTCCCATGATGCCCAAGCAGTGCTTTAAAGGGACTATCCCAAGACTATAGGCTATCTAGCCATGTCTATTTCTACGTATATTACCCTTTCCACTGTGTAGGTGCCTTTGACAGCTGAAACCTACAAAGAAATTGACTGGGCACACTATATAGAGCAGATGGCCGTAAGAGTACACTTATGAAAGACCAAGAATAATAACAATAAACAATTATGAACATAATTATGCAATTTCTGAGGCACTTATCTTTAAAGATCCACATTGCACATTTTTGAGGCTCCAGGAAAAAAAAGAAAGGGGCAAACAAAAATTTGTTGGGGTTGGGATGAGGTGCCATGGAGGACAGTGAGATACCAGCTGGCAGATCAAGGATGGAGATTCTTATTATTAATCAAACCGAGAAGCTGACTGAGGAAAACCAGCTAACATATCAAATCCTGTGTTTTAAGGTACATTTTAAATACAAATTCTACAAGAATATTTGGAGAAATGTGAGCCGCTGATACCTACATTAGGAATGCAACTGTAGCTATAACTCCACAAGCATGGTATGAATGGTTGAACTGCTTCGGATCTTGATATTTAACAGCTGCATCTATGATAATCCACCAGCCTGTAAAAAACTATTTGAATACAACAGTTCACAATGTGAACATCAACACAATGCCTCTGTAAATCAACACAATGCCTCTGTAAATCTTACCCCAGAACTCTGAGACACTGAAAACGGCACCACTCAGGAGTTCATGGGAGAACTACAATGATCACAGACACATTACTGCTAAGAAAAAATAGCAATGCTTCAATATTTGATTGTCAATATTTGATTGTCAAAGACTATAATAGAGAAGTTCCAGTGTGAACCTGTAAAACTATAATTTAATGTATTTGATTCTATTTGGTTTGGAATTGTGGTTCGCTTTCATATTATGGGTGTAAAATCTGAATAGCAAACTAGAAATGTACTATTATCACCATGTAATCTGACTGTGGATTTTTTAAATTCTTACCTTCCACATCCATTTGGGCCCTACAAAGAATTGTCACAGACTATGTACCTCTAGTGAGCCCTGACCTTTTGGTCTGATTGTTCATTTTTGTACATATGGATAGATGTTATGAACAGTTTTCATTTTGCACTCCCTGAGAATCCTGCCAACTGAAAACTGGCAGCATTGGTTGGACATATAGACCTTGGAAGAGGGATGGTATTGAAAGGAAGCAGGGGTACAGATTTCTGTTAAAGAAAACAAGTTGAGATTCAGGAGTTTGGGATAACAACAACTCAATCTGGGACAGTGTACAGTGATTAAAGGAGCTTTCTAATTCCAGGCAGTACTGGATGACACTCTATTTGAGGCTGCCTGTAAAATAGTTCAGATACTTCAACTGGTATGAAATGCGGGTGCTAAAGTAGCGGCAGGAGCTAGGTGGTCCAATCCTGTGACACCTAGTTTCTGGTGGGTTTTTAGACTTAGTGTAGAGTGCTGGCACTGGCTTTTGAAGCTGTAAACGGGGGCCAGGTTATCTGAAGCACTGCCTTTATGCATCCCAACTTGCTGAGAACAATATGAGAGGCCCTGTTTGTATGCCTATTTATAGGAAGAGGGTCCAGTGAAAGTACTATAGATACCAGTAGAAGTTTTGCACCAATTTAACAGAAGCAAGACTAAGGAAGGCATTTGCAGAACAAGTGACAAATAGGAGGATTAAATGTACAGACCAGCACTCCTGCACCAATGGAAGCGATGGTATTTCGCTTTTCTCCCCAGTCAATACATTCTGAGCACCTCATGTTTTCAAGGAAGCCAGACATATTTTACTGCTTTGAAAACCTAGGAGAGAAAATAAATTTCATTTAAGAGCATGGCTAGCATTAGCTGTATGTGCTGCTTTGAAGATGCTCATCAAAAAACAAAACAACAAATTCCCATACTAATCCTCTAAACAAAAAACAAATACACAGGTATATGGTGTATTTACACACAAAGATGTGAACATTCATTAAATAAACTATATATAGTTCTTATCTCCAGCAGTCTGAACAGCTCAATAATGCAGACCAATATTAAGACCAAAAGAAGAACCATGATGGATCAGAACAATGGTTAATCTGTTCACACAGTGGCCAAAAGCAGCTCAGGAAATTCCCAAGGTGATGATCCTCTTGCCCATGTCCCCCAGCAGCCCATGTATACAAGCATATTGCCTCTGATACTACAGGTAACATACAGCCATCCAAAGTATCAGCTATTGATAAGCAGTCTTCCCCAGAAATTTGGCCAGTCCCCTTAAAAGCCACTCAGATAAGTGGAACTTGCCACATTTGTGAAGTTATTTGGTCCCTCTGACCTGTTACTAAACTTTCACAGATGTTTAACTCAGTTGTGTGCAGATGCTTTGTCACTGGGGCTCTTCATGCTTCAGCCAAAGATCAGTGACATCAGATAAGAATCTTCCCTCACTAGGCAGACTTCCAACCCAATGTCAAACATATTTATTCAGAAATATCTTGTTGGCTTGGATGGAGCTTATTCCCAAGGGAGTGTGCACAAGGTATTTCTGTGCAGTTATTTACAGGTCAGTTCTGCTGAACAGTGAGTTACTCTCAAGCTTGCAAAGCAGTGGACTGCAAAATAGCCATGGAACCTGCTGACACAGACCTCTAAATTCTTATTAGCTGGAATTATCTTATCATCCATGCATCTTTTACTGCAGCTTGGTAGTTTCTGTACCTAAAAATAGGACAAAAGAGAGCCAGCAGTCCACATGTTGAACCAAGTTCCAGTCTAAGTCCCCACTCAGCCATGTAGCTCATGGGGTGGCTTTGGGCCAGTCATGGAATCTTAGAGTAATCTACCTCACAGGATTGTTGTGAGGATAAAAAAGAAAACAGGAGGCTTATGTAAACTGCCTTAGTTGAAAGAAAATGGCAAATTAAAATCACAATGAATGAATAAAGTTCAGTTACCCAAAATAGAAGGCAGATGGGCCCCAAGGCACCACAGTTAAGGCTGCCACCCTAACGGCACGTATTCCAGAACAATCTGTTAGCTGTGGGATTTACTTCTGAATAAAATGCATGGCGTTACCCAAAGGATGGATGGATGGCCCAGCCCAGTGCACTGCCACACACACTACTGAACACACTGGGGCTTGCTTCTGAGTAAACACTGGTTCATCCTTCAACAGTGGTTCATCATTTTTAAATTTGCATAATGATACTTTTTATAACATTGCAAGTCGCCTTGTGAGGATGGCATGCCCTCATAGGCAGGCTTAAAATGCTTAAAACAAATAACCTAATCCTATGGAAAGCTCTATATCTTTGCCATGAAAACCCCATGGCCAGTACCAAAAGGCAAAAAGATATGACACCGGAAGATGAGCCCCTCAGGTCGGAAGGTGTCCAATATGCTACTGGGGAAGAGCAGAGGGCTAGTACTAGTAGCGTCAGAAAGAATGAAGCGACTGGGTCAAAGCCGAAAGGACACTCAGTTGCTGATGTATCTGGTGGTGAAAGGAGAGTCTGATGCTGCAAAGATCTGTACTCCATAGGAACCTGGAATGTAAGATCCATGAATCAAGGCAAGCTGGATGTGGTCAAACAAGAGATGACCAAGACTGAACATCGACATCTTAGGAATCAGTGAACTAAAATGGACAGGAATGGGTGAATTTAATTCAGATGACCATCAGGTATACTACTGCGGGCAAGAATCCCTCAGAAGAAATGGAGTTGCCTTCATAGTCAATAAAAGAGTAGGAAAAGCAGTACTGGGATACAATCTCCAAAATGACAGAATGATCTCAGTTCGAATCCAAGGCAAACCATTCAACATCACAGTAGTCCAAGTCTATGTCCCAACCACTGGTGCTGAAGAGGCTGAAGTTGCCCAGTTCTATGAAGGCCTACAATACCTTCTAGAATTAACTCCAAAAAATGATGTCCTTATCATCATGGGGGATTGGAATGCTAAAGTAGGAAGCCAAAAGATAACTGGAATAACAGGCAAGTTTGGCCTTGGGAGTACAAAATGAAGCAGGGCACAGGCTGGTAGAATTTTGTCAAGAGAATACAATGGTCATAGCAAACACTCTTTTCCAACAACCCAAGAGATGACTCTACACATGGACATCACCAGACAGTCAACACAGAAATCAGATTGACTATGTGCTCTGCAGCCAAAGGTGGAGAAGCTCTATACAGTCAGTAAAAACTAGACCAGGAGCTGACTGTGGCTCAGATCATGAGCTTCTGGTTGCAAAATTTAGGCTTAAGTTGAAGAAAGTAGGGAAAAGCACTAGGCCACTCAGGTATGACCTAAATCATATCCCTGATGAATAGACAGAGTGCCTGAAAAACTATGGATGGAGGTTCACAACATTGTACAAGAGGCAGCAACTAAAACCATCCCAAAGAAAAAGAAATACAAGAAAGCAAAATGGCTGTCTGAGGAAGCTTTACAAATAGCTGAGGAAAAAAGGGAAGCAAAAGGCAAGGGAGAAAGATACACCCAATTGAATGCAGAACTCTAGAGAATAGCTAGAAGAGATAAGAATGCCTTCTTAAATGGACAGCGCAAGAAATAGAAGCAAACAATAGAATAGGGAGGACCAGAGATCTCTTCAAGAAAATTGGAGATATGAAGGGAACTTTTCATGCAAAGATGGGCATGATAAAGGACCAAAATGGCAGGGACCTAACAGAGGCAGAAGAGATTAAGAAGAGGTGGCAAGATTACACAGAGGAACTATACAAGAAAGAGCTTAACGTCCCTGATAACCATGATGGGGTGGTCACTGACTTCGAGCCAGACATCCTGGAATGTGAAGTCAAATGGGCCTTAGAAAGTCTGAGCAACAACAAAGCTAGTGGAGGCGACAGTATTTGAATAGCTGAGCTATTCAAAATCCTAAAAGATGATGCAGTAAAAGTGCTACACTCAATATGTCAGCAAATTTGGAAAACTCAACAGTGGCCACAGGATTGGAAAAGGTCAGTTTACATTCCCATCCCAAAGAAGGGCAATGCCAAAGAATGTTCAAACTACCGCACCATTGCACTCATTTCACATGCTAGCAAAGTGATGCTCAAAACCCTACAAGCTAGGCTCCAGCAGTATGTGGACCGAGAACTACCAGAAGTACAGGCAGGATTTCGAAGAGGGAGAGGAACTAGAGATCAAATTGCCAACATACGCTGGATCATGGAGAAAGCTCGGGAGTTCCAGAAAAACATCTACTTTTGCTTCATTGACTATACTAAAGCCTTTGATTGTGTGGATCACAACAAATTGTGGCAAGTTCTTAAAGAGATGGGAGTACCAGACCATCTTATTTGTCTCTTGAGAAACCTAAATGCAGGTCAAGAAGCAACAGTGAGAACTGGACATGGAACCACTGATTGGTTCAAAATTGAGAAAGGAGTTCGGCAAGGCTGTATACTGTCGCCCTGTCTATTTAACTTATATGCAGAGCACATCATGAGAAAGGCGGGGCTAGATGAATCACCAGTTGGAATTAAGATTGCTGGGAGAAATATCAACAACCTCAGATATGCAGATGATACCACTCTCATGGCAGAAAGCAAAGAGGAACTAAAGAGCCTCTTGATGTGGGTGAAGGAGGGGAGCGCAGAAGTTGGCTTCAAATGCAGCATTACGAAAACTAAGATAATGGCATCCGGTCCTCTCACTTCCTGGCAAATAGATGGGGAAGAAATGGAGGCAGTGACAGATTTTATTTTCCTGGGCTCCAAGATCACCGCAGACGGAGACTGCAGCCAAGAAATTAAAAGATGCTTGCTCCTGGGTAGGAAAGCTATGGCAAATCTAGACAGCATACTAAAAAGCAGAGACATCACCCTGCCAACAAAAGTGCGTATAGTCAAGGCTATGGTTTTCCCAGTTGCAATGTATGGCTGTGAAAGCTGGACCATAAGGAAGGCTGAGCACCGGAGAACTGAGGCCTTTGAATTGTGGTGCTGGCGGAGACTCCTGCGAGTCTCTTGGACAGCAAGGCGGTCAGACCGGTCAGTCCTAGAGATCAACCCTGACTGCTCTTTGGAAGGCCAGATTCTGAAGATGAAACTCAAATACTTTGCCCACCTAGTGAGAAGGAAGGACTCCCTGGAGAAGAGCCTGATGCTGGGAAGGATAGATGGCAAAAGAAGGAGGGGGCGGCCGAGGATGAGGTGGCTGGATGGAGTCACTGAAGCAGTGGGTGTGGGCTTGGGTGGACTCCGGGGGATGGTGGAGGACAGGAAGGCCTGGAGGAATGTTGTCCATGGGGTCGCTGTGGGTCGGACGCGACTTCGCGACTAACAACTGAAAGCTCTGTTAAGGCTGCCATACTACAGATAATTACTGCGCCGCAAGTTCCACTGAACTATAGGGCTTGCTTAGGAGTAAAGGGGAGCAGGCGGGCGAGCTCCCTCACGCCCTGCCGACACACCCATCTTCGCCAAGGGCTCCCCGCGTGGGACAACCTGGCCCACGGTCCCCCTCGGCCAACCAAGACCCTCCCGCGGGGGATTAGGGGACTGGGGGAAGCCAAAGAGGTCCTGCTCCATTTACCTGCTTAAAAGAGCTCTCGTGAGGTAACCGGCCCGAAGACAGAAGCAAGCTCCGCTCACGCTCAGCTGACCTTCAGTCAAGCCAACGCGGACTCCGCCTCCTCCCCACCAAGTAAACAAAAGGAGGAATCCGGCTTAGGGACCCGGATGTAGAAAAGGCCGAAGCTGCCATTGCAGACGGAGCCTTCACGGCGAAGGCGCGTTGACGTCACTCTCTAGGGTGGCCGCGGGGCGCACGTTCAATTTGCGCGTGCGCAATTGCTGCACTCGAAATCTTACTTTCTCCCGAGTGGTTGGTTATTCTGAGGTTTGCGCGGGAGTCAGAAGCAGATGCGAGGGGGGAATTCCCGAGTGCGCAGGCGCAATCTTTGCGACGCTCCTTAACATGGGGGGATAGCTGGCACGCACGCTGTATGAGCCGGGCAAAATGCGTTTAGGCGTACAGTTAACGGTCTGCTTCTAAGGAGCCGTATTGCGGCAGTCTTTTCCCAAAGGGCTGCCTTCCAGATGTGTTGGACTAGGTGGCTTCGAATGCCTGGAGTTGAACACATTTGGCAGGCAGATGGCGTACAGTCGAATGGCTGTAGGAATTTAGTAACCTTGTCTCTGCAACAGATGTACAAACCAAAGTTTGTGCTATTCTAAACGCAAGTAAGTCTGGGGAACATGGGATTGATTCAAGCATAATCCCCTGCAAATGCTTCCTGCTCTGGAGAGAAGCAAACACTGCTTTCATCGGTCACAGCAGTCGAAAAAGATGCTCATTTAACGTGAAACCCCTCGGAAAAAATCCTAGCCTCAATACCATATTGGGCATGCACATGATTGGCATGTCATGAGCAGAGCTGGCTGGAGCCGGGGATCAGACTAGATGGCCTGGGAGGTCCCTTCTGACCTGCTTGGTTTCTATGAACAATACAATCCTATGCATCCCTGTGTAGGAGTAAATCCCAGTATTTTAATGGAGCTTTGTTGTTAATGTGCTATCAAGTCATTTCTGACTAATGGTGACCCTATGAATGGAAGTTCTCCAAAATGTCCTGTCTACTGAAGTTCTGTTCAGTTCTTCCAAGTTTAAGACTGTGGCTTCCTTGATCTCATAATTGGTCTTCTGTCTTTTGCTTTCGCCTTTCCTAACATGATTGTCTTCTCCAATGAGTCTTGCCTTCTTGTCTTCTCCAATGTGTCCAAAGTATGACAGCCTCAGTTTTGTAGCTTTGCTTCTGAGACAGGCACCAGTACCTCCTGGTATTATGGCTTGGTATTACTTGATGTATATCCTGCCTTTTTCTTTTCTGAAGAACTCAGAACAGCTTACATCATTCTCCTGCTTTCAATCTTATCCCCACCAGAGCCCTGTGAGGTAGGTTGGACCGATAATCTGTGACTGGCCTGAAGTCACCCAGTAAGCTCCTTGGCTGATGGGGACTAAGACCCCATGCTCTTAACCACTACACCACACTGGCTCTCAAGCTGTTCCTGATTGACCAGCTACAATTGTATTGCCATCCCGTTTTAACCTATTATTTCATTCCATTATCTTTTAATGGTTCGTAGGTTCAGAATCTGTTTAGATGTGGAGTGGTATTTAAGTGTTGCACATAAAGACGCCCCACTACGTTTTGCACCCATAGGAAAGGGAGCGTCCTTCAGCTGGGGCTAAAACTACTCCCCATGTTTGCAAAGCACCCTGTTTAGCTCGGTTACACTTCTATCCTAGCTTTTCGTCCCCTCCAAGGAACCTAAAGCAGATTATGTAATCCGCTTTTACTCTCTCCCTCTCTTCTACACAACTTCAACCCCTGTGAGGTAAAGTTAGCCGGAGAGTCCGTGACTGGCCCAGGGCGCGCCGTGGCCGAGCGGGAACGAGCGCGCACGCGCGCCCCTCCCCCACTCCACCGCCCGCTCGTCACCGCCGAGGCGGGGCAGGGAACCAGGCCCGGGGAGGGGCTTCCTCGCCGCTCGCGCCCCTGCGCGTGCGCACTGGCGCCACGGTTACGCAACGGAAGCGCCCCTCCCCCGCCGCGACGTGCTGGAAGCTTCTGCGCCCTCAGTCGCGGCTGGCGCGAGCACCGGGCGGCTGACTTGGCGGCGGCTGCTGACGGGGCGGCGTTTGAACGCGCTTTGTGGCCCGAGAGTGGCCTTTTTCGTGGGCCACGCCTGACCGGCAGAACCGAGCGGGCTGTTTGGAGCGCGTCCTCGCTGCGACTCCCGGGCGTTGCTCCGTCCTCGCGGCTCGGCGGTTCCCTTGACTCGCTCCGTGTGCTTCTCGTCATGGCGATCACCAACGAAACCGGGCTCTCCCCTCAGGCTCCGCCTCAGGGCCAGGCCCCGTCCTCCTGGTACCAGTGAGTCTGAGGCGATTTTTAAAAAACCGTTATTAATGGCAAGTGCGTGGTGGAGGCAGAGACCTGGGGCGGATAAAAGCCCGGAGAAGCAAAACGGGTGGGAAGCAGGGTTGTCGTGACCGCTTAGAGAGCAACAGCTGGCCTTGTGTTGAAAGAGGGGCTGCTTGGTATTACTGCCTTCGTGTCGACGGTGAAGGAAAGCGAGATATAAGCATGGCCGTATTAGGTTGAGTTACCTCATAGGCTAGCTTGGAGGTGATGCATGGCTGTGGGCGCCAGGGGAGATGCGTTTAACAACCATGGGTGGGGAGAGAGTCATGTTTACTGCCTTTCCTTGGAACGAAGAGCTCGATAAAAACGTAGCAAACGAGCAAATTATTGGTGGGAAGACAAATTTAGTGGCTTTATGGTAGCCCCATAAAGTAGCTCAGCTTTAAAGCACCATCTCGCTGACCTCTTGTTTTTCACGACGCGTCTTTCTAATTGTAAGTTCGTAAGTTGGCAGGACCTGGTAAACATGCAGCAGCTTTTGGGGGGGAAGGTGGAAGAAGAGGTGGGCTGAATTACGGCTAATCAAGTCGTTCAGAATGCTTGGAGGAAATGTAGAAAGTAGAGATTAATGCTTTTAACTTTTAATTTGTCATGGCCGGAAACTGCTTTGGCTGCCTCATAACTGAAACTGGAATATAAATAGAGCAAGTTACTCTTGGATTTTTTTAAAAGTATTGTACAAAGAACCTGCATTCCCCCCCTTTCGGTTTTTGGTCCACCTAGCAAATCAGTTCCATTTTTTTTCTAGATTGGAGAGTGACTAAGGAAATTGTAGACAAAGGAATTGTAGGAGGGTGTTTTGCTAGAATTGGCTGAAACCCTGGCACTCTTTGTTTTCACAGGAGTCCCCAGCAGGTCTGTGAAAGCTCTGAGCAGAATAGGAAATCTGCAGCAGCTCATGGTAAGTTCTTCATGGGCATGCATGTTACATCGATTCCACTCATATCTAAAATATTTGAATTTGTCTAATTTGCTTTCAAGAATTCTTCTGTGCTTGGGGGAGCAGGGTTCAGGTCAGAGCAGCTTTCTTTTCTGATTTGAGCATGATTTGCTAGTTGCTCTAGTTGGAACATTTGAAGATAGAAAGGCTTTTAATGTGGTATGAAATATTGTCAGCATAGCCAAATGTTTTAAGATTATTCATAAACACCAGTACAAGGAAGAGTAATTTCATAAGAGATTTGAGGAAGCTGAACCTTGGGTAGTAGTTCTGTGCAGTGAAGCTAAAATGGCTGCTGTTATATAATAGCAGCCATCTTGACTAAGTACTTAATCTTGCCTACAGCTGGTTACAGTGTTAGTAAGTGTAGTGCTGTGCCTCTAAATTCTCATTTCACTGTTTTGTGACGTTAGTATAATTTGTATCAAAGTGAATCTTCGTTGCCTCTCTAAATTCTGAACTGCTAGGACTCAAACATTTCTGTTGGAAACTTGCTCCTGTGATCAAATAAAATAAAATGCACCATTTATGTTTTGAGAAAAAAAAAATAAAAAGCTTGTTTCTGAGTTAAGAGGGCAAGAGTACAAAAGAACATAAGATAATATTTAATTGTGCTGTTGCAGCTGACAATTCCAAAACCCAAAAATGCAAGCTAAATCTTACCTCTCTCTTTCCCGAACACCCCACCTTCTTTAAAGCAATGGGAAATGGGCAGCTGAAAACAGAAGTCACTTTCTATAAAAATATTGAAAATCCAACATCAAGCAAGAAGACAGATGAGATGACAGACTTCATGGATGACTTGACACTCAGTTCACCAAAAGAGAAGTCTCGTTCAAGCTCAAGGAGCAGTTATAGCAGGAAATCTTCCTCAAGATCATCTAGTAGGTCATCTTACAGTTCACAGTCTAGCTCAAGCACTTCATCCTCAAGAAGCTGGAGCAGGTCTAGGAGCAGATCCAGCTCACGTGCTAAAAGGAATTGTTCCCGGAGGAACAGAAGATATTCAAGATCTTATTCCAGGAGTCGATCAAGATCACGCAGCTACAGATACCGAGAAAGGTACCATCCTCGATACTATCGGAGATACCGTCGCTCTCCTCCAAGATACAGGTCACGGAGTCGGTCTCCTAGAAGATCATACTATAGAAGGTCTTATTCCAGAAGCAGGTCAAGAAGCCGAAAATACTATGGATTTGGAAGGACCATATATCCTGAGGCTTATAGAAGCTGGAGAAGCCGCTCTAGATCAAGATCTCGCAGTAGAACTCCTCTGCGCTTGACTGAAAAAGGTAGTGGGTGAGGAGATGCTGAGCAGGATACTTTGGTCTTAAAAGTTCCACTAAAGAAATTAACCCTAGGCTGCCAGCCAAAGGTTCCAAACATATTTTCCTTATCCAGATATGGAAATACAGATCCTTGCTGTACTTTAACTGGTGAAAGTATCACCTCTTGTAGAGGTGCTGTATATTGAAAGTCCTTGTGGAATGCATGAGTTACATATATGCATTCACTCCTAAGTTGGCTGTAGGATCACAAAGTAGATTTTGGGAAGCCATTGTATAAAAGGGAAAGTATTACAGATCTATGTATCTCAGTGTTAAGTGGATGGAGGACTGAATGAGTGGCTACCGTGTAGGTAGATTTTTTTTCCAAATGAAAAATTGGTATACTAATGTAATAGTTTGCTTTCTTTTTAAATAGAAAAAAGGGAACTACTGGAAATAGCAAAGGCTAATGCAGCAAAAACCTTTGGACCAGACATTTCCTTGCCAGCCAGCTTGAGAATGAATCCAAAATCCAATGAAAATGTAAAACCAAAAGATGACAGCATAGGGTCTAAGGTAAGTATGAAACAAGTCTTCAGATGCTAGCAATGTTCCATTATTAGAAAACAAATACTTTCAAAATTTTATTCTCAAGTTTTGGAAACCAAAGGGAAAGAAATACAAGTTTAGCTCATAAAAGTAGAATTGCCAGATCTTAAAATTCTTTGGGCTATGAGAAGATGGTCTCAGAAGAAACCATAAAGTGTTTTCAGTTTGGGTTGTCTTTCATATGTCTTTGTCCAGATAATGGTAATTTAAACCCATTTTGAATTTAATAGGTGTTTTAATACCTGTCAACTTGTCATGTAACCACTTGTTCCCAGAAATCATCCAGACACACAGTCCATTTCACATGCTTTATTTCTGTCTTATAGAAATCATGAATATGGTCTTCAGCACTGATGAAGAAAATCTGTTGGTAATTTAAGTGATTGTGGGTGTAGCTGTGCTAACTTAGGGGAGGGAAATATGAGTCAAATGAGTAAAAGCTTTGTCATGTTACACATTTTCAAATGGTTGGAAAGCTTTTACTCAAATGAAATCTTAGAGTTGCTCCTTTGTATTAGGAGCCTAAGTTTTATTTTCTAATTAAAACAAGGGTTTTACATACCTACAAACTGGAATAGGTGTCCCTCACGATATTTGCAATATATTCCAGATGTTGAAAGAAAGTCAGAAGAAGCAGCTTGCATCACTTGCAGATAAGTTATTGATCTTTTTTCAAATCTCTGCAGTTTTGATATGCAGGAGGTAATGAGGTCACAATTTGAATGAAGGCTATACTTTATCAAGTCATCTTTTCATTATCTGGTGATAACCAAAAATTTGGAGATGGATATGAGGGCTGTACACAATATATATACTAAAAATAGCAAACATGAATTCTAGCAAAAGTTGTGCAGTAACATGTCTGCACCTGGGATTTTTTTCCAGATAAGCAGGTTCAGGACTGCTTCTGCAGTAGCCATTTTAAGCTTAGAGGCTAGACCAAAACCTGTACTCTGCTCAGCCATCTAGGTGGCACTGTTTAAAATACAATCCTTCCCTCTTTAGCAATTAAGAAAACAAGCTGAAGAAGGCAAGATGGAACTGTGCTGCTGCAGTGAAGGACATAGCATTCAGTACTAATGTGATTCCTACCTCTGAGATCAAGAAACTGAATACAGATATTTCTCGAGCCTACTTTGCAAAACTATACAAGTACATTCAAGAGGCATTTCCACAAAGTTTGATGAGACAAATATACATGCATGGAATTGCAACCTTCATGTTGGAACTAAAAGTATATTCAAATAATATTTTCTGGACACCACATACCAACTAATGTACATGGTTATTGTAATTTTTGAACCTTGCAGAACTTATTTCTGATCTGTGAAAACAGATTTTCACCTAGTGATTTTCTACAGCTTGTATTAACCATACAAACTGTTCTGAGGACTGATGCTTTGATTTTGTTAGAAACATTGGAGGCAGGGTAGTCTGGGTAGCACTTCTTAAAATCCAGTGCTTTTAGTTGTTTATAAAATGAAGTTCTAAATTGCAAATAAGCGCTGTTCTTTGGAAACATGCACAGGTATTCATCCTTGTGTGTTTCTTTTGAGGCTTTTTTTAAAGTAGCAATGTCCTCACAGTTAACTTTTTTTTCTTTCAGAATCCAATGAGCCTAGCTGCTCTGAAAGCCTGTCAGCTTTCTCAATAATGCAGCTGCAGTGTCCCAAGGAAAAGACAAGAGATCCCATCTGGGCAATGGATTCCTGTTAAGAATGAGGAAAATGGCTCATTCCATGATGTTTCACCTAAAAGTGCATCTTTTATAAGACACTAGTTCTGTTTATTGAGCTGTGGAGGCACATTCATTTCAGGGTTTAAATGCAGAATACTTAATTTGTGTTAATTTGATACTAGTTTTTCCAGATATAAAATGAAAGTACAGAGGCCCAGAAATGACAGTAGGAAATTCTATGCTTCTGTAAATACCTTTAATGTGACTACTGGATTAAATTACAGGTGGGTAACTTTTCTATGTGTAAGTCATCAGTTTCCATGTTCTAATGTGTGTGATTTATTATAAATCTGTGTTTTGTATGTTTTCAGTACTTGAGTCAGCACTTTAAACAGTGTGATTTGTGGCTCTTGCTGGGTGTTCAGTTGGCTTCTGTAGTTGCCCCATATTTCATTTTAACCTGAACACAGCCTTATTTTACAAAAGGCAAGAAAGGGAAAAATGCCACTTCAAGTGGTAAATTCCTAACCCTTGACTACTGTTTTGCTATGGAATCTATGTAGTTGTTCTTTGTACTTCTAGTTAAAAAGTTTCTAGTATTCAGAGAATCTGAGCTTGTGCATGTTCGAAGTACCACTGTCACTAGGTAAGACCTTGGTTCTAGATTTTGAAGCAATCTTTTTCCTTAGCTGTTTGCCTGAAGGGCTTATAATGTAACGATGACTCCCAAGAGTAAAATTTAAGCAGGTTATATTTCAAACAGACAGGGCTGCCTAGGACAAAGTTGGTTGTGTTGGGAATCCACAAGTTATGCAAGTTTATTACTGCATTTTAACATGGTGGGTTTATCAGTAGGATGGACTGCACTAACTGGTTCAGAAGCTAGAGTTAAGTAACGCTAAGTAATGCTTTGTAAGTCGCACCTTCCCTTCAGCCAAAAACTGGAGCTATGTATAAACTGAATTTTTTTAAATAAAAGTACTCTAAATATTATGTGTAATTTTACTGAACATCTTGTTTCACAGCTGAAAGGGAGTGGGATCTGAGAAGAGGCTCTGAGTTCTTTTGCCCAATAAACCTGTCCCTTGGTGCTGGAAGCATAGAGGGCATATACATTATGCCACTGACCAGTGGAATTTGGGGTGAGCTGTCCCTTGTTCTTAAAGGTGGCCTGGAAATGCTTTAAATAAAAATAAGTTGCCTGTTGGGTGGACCAGATAAGGGACCTCCCACCTGGCAGGAACTCACTAAACATCAACAAAATTGCTGCTTGCAAGGGATACAATATTCCAGGAGATAGCAGAGGTGGATGCCAATCTTCGTAGACTTTAGCTTAACCTAGTATTTAGGGATCCTCAAGTTGAAAGTAGCACTATTCAGGGCTGTGACTTTTTTTTTTTAATCTTACTCTGGACAGCCATACTTTCTGGAAAATGTGCTATTGCAGCTACATTACTTGTCTTGAGGACACATCATCCTTCCATCTGGGTTTCATGTAGTTCACAGTAATGTAGAGGATCAGGTAAGTGTTGCCACAAATGCTTGTTCTTCTGGACAAGGATAAACAGCTCTATTTGAAGTAGGACTGGACATCTTGATTAGAAACCCATGATCTATCAACCTAAACCTACAAGGGATACACAGTAGTGAAGATGGACTGCTCCAGCTACTCTCAACAGCCCAATCCAGCATAGGAAATGAGGGATGGTGGGACTTAATAGACTCATATCCCTTATCTCAGTCTTAAGTAGTCCAGGTGTTTGCTTTTAGCAGCTGAAGTGCATGGAACTTGTAGTCCTTCCACAAAGAAATCCATGCCTAGCTAGCCTTTGCTTGCATAATTTCTGCAATACAATTTAGGTTGGGGAAATAAAATGTCATTGCTGCTGTTGCTGTTCTGGGATCCAGAAATATTTGCTAATCTATTTCAAGTTACAGGCAAAAAGATTTCTACATACCAGGCAAATCTTTTTGTCTCATTTTTCTACACTAATCAGTTACACTATAAAATGTTTGCCTAATAACACCTAGCTCTACCCAACCAGATACATAACTACCATAATTAGCATTTTACATCAGAGCTTTAGTAGAAATGCAGCCTATAATTTTCATGGAGACCTCACATTAAAAGAAAAACCTGAAGCTACTCAGCAAACAAGCTTTATTTGAAACTTTGTTTCCATGAAGAGAAAAGGTGCAAAAGCTGATGGGTCCATTGGTAGGTTCCAATCCAAGAACTAAAATTGTTTCCCACTGTCAATATATGTGACAATGTTTAATTGAATTTAAAAAGTGCCTTTTAAAAAAATTCCTGGCCAAGGCTTTCTACGAGCTTGTGGTAAAGTTTGAAGTCCTCCTGCAAAACAAGTTTGACATGGTTCAGAAGGCCAAGATGTCTAGCACTGGGCAAGCATTCCTGATCTTGCAACTTAGACCGCTGTTCCTCTTTCTAGGTTTTGTTTAATTTCAGCAGTATATTTTCCATAGAACCTCTCCGCCTTCTTATTGAACTTGGCATTCCGCTCATTAATGTAGTCAATATCTGCATCATCATTGTAAGCACGTCTCCGACTGTATTTTTCACGCTTTTCAATTCTGGAAGAGAAATTTATTCACAGAAACTTGACACACATGAAGCTATTTCCATGTAACACAATAAGATTAATGGCTGCTGATACTTGTTCCAAGTACATATGAAAACAAGCTATATTATTTGGAGTGACTAGGAGGGCTGGTCCAGCCTGTTGGCCTTGCATGGCAAAAGGCAGTGGGAGGAAGAGACAACAGAGAACTATTACAGGATTTGCTGCTCCCCTCTCTGTCAGCCAAGCTATTTCTGCCAGTGGGATATGGATGTCTGTGGCATATCTGCACGCTCTCTCCCTCTTTCTCTCACAACTTTTCAGATAGAATGTACTTTACAATGAAATTAAAAGTTATTTACAATTTTAAAAAGTCAATCCATTAAAAACCTGCAAAAGACAAATTTTCGGCCATCAAAGACCCAATGATACTTCCATTATCTTTGAAACACAGCAGCAAAGCAAAACAGATGGACCTTCCAGAAACAGGCATCTGTAGTGCTGGGCCATGACTGGACAATCTCTGCTCCTAGGTTCAGACATTAACCCAATGTCTGAAAGGAATGGAGCCTGGAGAAGACCCAGCTCAAGGAATTAAGATCAACATTGTAATCAATTTTAAAGCATCAAATAGCTTGTTACTTACTGTTTTTCAAGATCTGAAACCATTCTGTCAACCCCTTCTTTACATGGCACATGAGTTCCATGGAGAAGACTATTTGAAGTTGGATAAAACTCTTCACCGCTGAATATTACAGTGTGGGTAGATGGGGGAGAATGAAGCTTTGTTAGTGATAAATATCTGAAAATTTATTCTAGTTTTCACGTTCAACTTCTCTATTTCTAGAACACAGAAATACACCCCTATATAGTGATCTATTGGAGAATGCAAAGAAGTAAGGGTGTTGCTGACCCTGTAATCTTCACTGATCTGTTTTCCAATTAGTGAAACTTCATCTGCATGCTCTTCAGTACAAAGCAGAGCAGCAGGTAAACAGATGCTCATTGCAGGAAAAATTGTTATTTGTATTATGGCTTGTGTTGCTGAATATAGACACTACACCACCTGGAAAGAACTTTTATTCGCTCCAAGGGGCTAAAACTCTAAATTCTAAAATTTACAGAGATTCACATGACTAGATGTACACCCCAAGAGACGTTACCTCCATCAGTTTGTAAGCTGTGAACAACTGAATTATTTGTTTTGTATTAAGGTAGTGTTCAAACCAAAGCCTAATCTAATTTAATCTTGTTCCTGACCACACACAAAAGCGCATTTACACACTTCAGTTCACTTTTGCAGAATACCCTCCACCCTCTCAATTCTTGATTTAACACTCAGTTTTTGCCTTCCCACAAATATCTTTCCACTCCTTGTGAGGGGAAAAATCACAGAAGATGACTGCAAGATTCAGAGCTCTTAGAACTTTGGCTTCCCGGAAAGAGTTGCGGCAGCTGGTTTATTGTGTTCTGTGCTCTCATGGGCAAGAGACTCAAGGATACCTACAAAGCTGCACAATGAAGGCTTCACAACACATTGCCCTTAGAGCTACCGTAACATGGCTTCTCTCGAACTGTGGCTCTCCAAAATCCCTCTTGCATATTTCTATAGCGGTTTGCCAGTTCTCCACATTTAAAAAGCATTTGTTTTGTTGCAAGTGCTTTCTATGGTTCCACCAGAAACGCAACTAACATAATCCACTGACAGGTTATTTTCTGTATGAGAGTATGCAGGGATGCTGAATCTCAGGTTGGTGGGGATGGGGGCAAATCTGGCCTGCATCCAGGTCAAACCTGGTCCTTCAAATTCCCCAACTGGCCATATCCACTTCCCTGTCAGTCCCCAATCCTTTGGTGGTTTCCTGGCTTTAAGCTAAATACGCTGGTATTTTGGCCACAACCCTTTGCCTTCAGTTTTGGCTACCACTAGAATACAGCCTTTGAGAGAAGGCAAATCCTGCTCTTGGGCTGATAAAGATTCCATATCCTTGAAATGCACCAACTATAGAGCAAGTAAAGCAATACAATTACACGGCAGCTTTGCTAAGACTGTACTTAACGACCAAAGTATAGCAGCCCGTTTATCAGGCTCCCGGTAGCTGACAGCAGCCAGCACAACAGATCACTAATAGGGGCACCTGCTTCCAGCTCTCCATGCTACTGCTTTTGCTCCCCTGCCCTCCCATGCAGGCAATGCTGGCAGCTTCGTGTTGGTGGTGGAAAAGGTGGCAGCTGATGAAGGGCAGCTGCAATGCCAACGGGGCTGGTGTAGTTATCAGTCTGGATAGCCTCAGTCACCTTGAGACTTCCAGTTATGTCGAAGCCGTTCAAAGGTCACTGTGCAAGCAGGATTATACCACAGGCAGAACATGAGAGACCAGACAAAAATGAGAGTCATACTTGCCTTTCTTCTTTCAATTTTTCATACTTCTCCAGGTCGGGTCGGATTTGTTTGGTCAACCTCTGGTATTGTCGTAGTTGAGCAGCTGCATAATCTATGGAGTGAACAAACATGTTCTGGAACAGGGAACCTTTTACTAGATAGCCTATTAATAAGATTCCCTTTTGCTTAAATGGGGACAAACCCTTCAGTCTTACCTGAAAACCCAATATCAGGATTCTTCTTCTTCTTCTTCCTTTCAAATCTCTCTGCATCCTCTGCACTGATTTCTAACAGTTTCACTCTCTCATAATCTTCTCCTTTTGCCAAGCACTCCTAGTAAACAGGATTTAATAGTTTAAAACACAGATCCTCAATCTTTGTCACACTAAGCTTTCCTAAAACTGTGTGTCCTACCTGCAATCTTATGTACAGGCACTAGTAAGCTGCTGTAGATTTTACTCTTCTAATATGATAGCTCAGGTCTCTTCTAACATCTCTCAAAAGCATATGCTACACCTTTGTACAAATGCAAAAGCATATGCTACACCTTTGTACCCACTAAGCCAGACTTAGTGGGTAGCCTCAGGCAAGCATATGACATTAGATAATTATGGTTTTGATTAAAATGGAACTGTAGACACAAACTGATGTTATAAATGTAAAACCATTTTTAAAAGTCTATTTCATTTTGGGTTTTTTGTTTTGTTAATATCAAATTTGTGAAGTCCTGGAGAGCACCAGAAATCAAGGATGTACTTTATTTTATACAAACGTCCTGTCTTTTTCTTGGCTTTAAGCAAGTTACCCCATCTGAAACACAGGCATACAAAATTAGAGATGTTCTGAAGATAACTGGGGTAATGTATGCCACTTACAATGAACATATTTGCATATCTGATGCAAGCCCCACTGTACGGGGTAGACTTACTTTCAAGTAAAGATACATAAGATCAGGTTGTAAGATTAAAAAAAATGCTTTATCTGGCACTGCTCACTGTTGCTCTTGACAAGTGGGAGTGCATAAAGATGAGAAGCTATGTGGGCCCATGGCATGCTTTTAGATCTTTTGTGGATGGGGTATTATTCTAACTGGTCTGATGGGAAATGTAAAACTTAGCACTGACTGGTTGCTTGTTTACCTTTTTCTTTTCTTCCACCTTCAGCTCCCATTCTAAACGAGCCTTTTTTGCTTCCCAGTTTGCTGGCAACTTCAGCCTTTTATCTTCCTCAACAACTTCCTGGTGGTTCAATTTGCGGGCTTCATTCTTTTAAAAGACAACAAGTCAGAAATACATTAGCATCCTCTGCCTTTATTATTAATGACCAAATCTGGACAGAGGTATGAGCTGGAAAAGAGCAGCACTGAATCTAATGTTCCTTAAAAGTAGAAAGGGCCATCGTCTATTAACTACTGAAACACCAAAAAGATGCAGAAGAATAAAACCTGGTTCATGTGACAAGACAAGCCACGGCTTAAATAAGCCATGGGCCGTCAAGAATGACCTAGAGAGAGCAGACACACTGCCTGTAGAAAGCCTGCCTCTTCTTTTACTCAATAACCTACAATCAGCTGCATCCTGACTTGCTAAGCATATCCTCTAAAATGAGATTGTTTAAACAACCTAGCAAATAACAACAAACCGAGGTTAGCTACTGAGTTGTTTGGCCCTTAACATAGTCCATGTTAGGATACGATGCTCAGCGACCTACTAAGAAGCTGCTCATGGATGGCTGATTAAAAGCACAAGTGGCAGGTACATGGTAGGCAGCATGCTGCTCTCCCCTGTTCATTGCTATGGGCTGTCATGTTGGGCAAATCCACTTTCTGTGCAAATAAGCTCACACTGGCCATTTCCCAGATGTATGCTTTGTCTTTATGAGACCTTCATTGGTCTCATCTTTGATCATCTCAATGATCTTTGGGGAAACATATGCATACGAGTTAAATAGTACAATTTCCCAGAGGCAGAGGGACCACTACAACTTTTGGAAATTTTATTTATTCATTCATTCATTCACAGATTTATATGCCACCCATAATTGCCAGAATGGCCTCCCTAGGTGGCTCACACAATAAGGAACACACTTTGGATTCAGGTCACTACAGCTTCAATACAATCTTGGAAAATTACAGTATCACGACCTCAGTTTGTTGGTTGATGCGATTGCACAGGCTCCAACATCGATTCCCACCATGTCTGAAACTTCCTCCAATAAGCCATGCGGCTTGGGTTTGGATAACAAGTCATGCTCAGGAAGACAAGGTAGATAAATGATGCCCAACACACACCACAACTTTAACAAGCCACCAAGGTTTGTTTAAGCTGCAGTGATTACACAAGTCAATGCCATTTTTATTTGGCGCCTTTACTCCTTTGAAAGATTTGAATTCCTTAGATTGTCACCCCGTAGGAAGCAGGATTGTTAGGGTTAGAAAACCTGTTGTAGGCTTCTTTGGGTCCATGGGAAAGAATGGGGTATAAATCAATGAAGTTCTATATATACCTCAGTCAAAAACTCTCTTAATACCAAACTGGCATTATATGAAGAAGGCAAATGTTATTTAAAAATAAGGCCAGGTTTTCCTTCTTGCACAATGGCAGCAAGAGATGCCCACTGAGCATTTCTGCTAGATATGAATTGCAGGCTACACAACCCACCAGCAAGCAAGGAACAGAACTCTAAGTAGCAAAACCCTAACAGGATAGCTTACCCTTTTTAAATGAAGCTCTCGGAATTTTCTAAGCCGCTCCTCTCTCTTCTGTGCAGCCACCTCTTCTGCTGCCACAGGATCTTTTGATGTATCAGAAGTGGCCTGATGTCACCCACAAATATCAGAAGAAAAATATCAGCTTCTAAATGCAAGCATTTCATGCCATAATATATAGAGCAGTAGCATTCTTAGCAACCAAAATTATTATAATTAGCAGACCAAGTGAAATAGCAAACATATTTTTCACAAGGACAGGGGCTTCCAAAGTAGGTTTTGCATAGGCAAATTTACTTCTCTGTAACAATAATGACAAGCAACACAATTCAACAGTTATAGTTATGCTGAGCTTCCCTCCACCTTTCAATGAAAGAACATCTGCAGGAAAAAGGGACAGCTAAACCCATGGAGAATTTTACAGATCCAAAGGAAAGAAAAAGAAAACACCCTCAAGAAGACCCTTCAATGTCATCAATATATATGCCTTCAGTGCAAGGCAGTAGACAGGAACACTTGAGAAGAATCTTTCCCAACCCACAATCCCTCATACTTCAAGAGCACCCAATCCAGAATCGTGCAGTACACACAATTATTTGGATAGCAAGTGAAAATATAAAACTAGTGTTTTCTACACACTAAAGAATGGCATTTATTCCTGACAAACCCAAAGCGATTTCCCCTTCCGTGTGATGTAGACTCCTAGCTATTACAGTAGTGAGACGAATGAAAAGGAAAAGTTGCTCCCACCCTGCCCCAAATTCCAGTCGACTCCTGCCTAGCTTTGCCCATTATTTACCCACCCTACAAAGCCACTACATTAAATTACTTGCTCGTCCTTCTGAGTCAGCCTGAAACGGGGTCCCTAACACTGCGCACGGCAGACGAGTTTCACCAGAACTCCTTTCATCTCTAGCCCACCATGGGAACTGTAGTTCAGCGCATCTGGAGAAGGCTGTGCTAAGACATACAGCGCCCCGCCTTTGCCCTGCGGTCCCTGCTCGGCCTCCCTCCCGTTCTTTCCAGGCGTCTCACCGCGACAGGCGAAGAAAGCCCACCCTCCGCCACCGCAGCCATCTTCGCACTGTTTCGGTAAGCCCCTAGCCACTTCCTGCCTGCCAGCACCTCCTCTTCCGTTTCCGTCCCTTAGTGACGTAAGCACGAGGCTATGACTGCAAAGCCATGGCAGAGGCCATAGAGAGCAGCCCTCCGTGGGAGGAAAGCGGGGAGAAACCCTTGAGGTGGCGCATGCGTGGTCAGCGCCGCCGCTGGGGGCGGCTGTCTTTTATGGCAGCTGCGCGGCGTCGCCGCCTCGAGAGCGGGAATGGAATCGGAAAGAATTTTTTTTAAGCCCCACCAGGACCAGCAGCGCAATTCACGTGCAACAGACAAAGCGCGCGCACTGTGTGGATAAGAACAGCAGAGATTCTTGCAGCATCTTAAAGGAGGAGGACTAAGCATGTACGCGTCAGATACGGAAGCTTTTCTGTCGAAATTTTCATAGGGTTGGGCCTAACACGTTTATCCTGGCACTAGCTAAGCCTCCGGTGCTGAAAGAAGGCCAGAAATAAAAGAAGAAAAAGATGTTGAGGCTCCACCAGGTATATATTTGTGGTACATATAGTAATAATTCCCATACCTCAAGAGGCTAGCTTCAAAGTACACAAGTATAAGTTGTACTAGGAGTGAAGACTGAATTAGGAAAAGGATAGATAAGCCCAGGGCTACTATATAGAGAAAAGAAATCCCCTTCCTGTACATCATTTAGGGGACAGTATTAATACTGTTAATATGAATAATATAATTAATATTGAGAATACTGACCCTATTATTAATTAGGGTTTTTTTAAAAAAATGAGTTTTCCTCTAAAGACTTCAGGGCAAGAAAGTCCTATTTCACCATTGCAACAACCGTGTGAAGTAGGCTAGCATTAGCACTGGCCACTGGATAAGTATGTGCATTTTTGCTTTAAGTATCCAGCCTTGCTTTATAACAAAAGGGTATTATTCGTGCAAATCAGGAGTTCAGATGGCTTTTCTAGAGACCACCCAGTCCAGCTCCTACTTGGTGCAGGAAATACAGACCTGTTATCAGAAAACACCTCAGATAACAGTGAGCCCATTCAGAAAGAGAAAATGAACAAGTAGTGTGCTTGGCACAGGCAGTGATCATCTTACTTTATAAGGCCAGATAAGGTTTAGTGCTTACAGCCATAGGCCACTGCAAACAACACACATGTAGAAATATGCCTAACAAAGGGACAGAGATATGAGCAACTGGGCTTCCCAGTTCTAATTCCACATACTAAAATTTGCCCTTCCTAAAAATATCCAGACATTCCTTTAAAGTTACCTTGTTCAGATAAATCGAAGCAGAGGCCTCCAACCTTTTGGACTTGTGGGGACATTCGGGATTGGAGGAACTGCTGTGGGCACCACCAGAAAATGCTTCCCATGGGTGGGGTTGTCTGGGCCTGGCTGGTCAATTGGTGCACTGGCCTGAGTCTTGCGGGGTGGTTGATTCCCTTGGGTATGTGCTTTTAAAATTGTGTCTATATTTCACCTGACCACACTGATAAGTCCTGCTTTCTCAGTTGTTAGTTCCAATCTTATCAGCACAAGAGTGCCACGTCGATGTTGTGTAACACCCTTGGGAGAGACAGTGGGTGCTTCCAGAGGGCTCCCCCAGTACTTAACACCTGAAACACCTGGTGCAGCCATGCCTGCCTTCCCTCCAGAAATTCTTTGTGACAAGACAGAAAAAGCTCCGGGACAAACACAGGAGGATTACAAATGGCCAGTGTCTGAATCATTGCCCATTTGATGCTATGAAGCATGGAGAGGGCACCACAAAAGCCCCAGTAAAATAGAGACATAGAAACAGAACGAGTCAGAAGGGGCCTCCCGGGCCATCCAGTCCGATCCCCAGCTCCAGCCGGTCTGCTCACGACATGCCCGCCATGTGCATGTCCGGCCTAATAGAAACAGAGACGTGGTTGGAGATATTGGCCTGGCCAGTCCCCTGGTTCTGAGTATTGCTTTTAATCTTTTTAAAGGTTTGTGTGTGTGTTTCACCTCCCCAAACCCAACCCTCTTGATTTCTCAGTAGCTTTGTTTTAGCTCCAGCTGTGCAGGGTGGGACTACTCAGTTTGCAGCGAGATGGTGTACTTCTGCCACCATTTCAGTTTTCAGAGGGAAATCTTTTACACGGCACTGGTAAAACTTGATTTCCCATGCATGCCGATTCATCCTGCCTTTGCAGCAACCTCTCATCGTATGTGGACACGAGAGGGCAGCACAGCTCTGCATATTCAGCTGCAGATGTTGTGATGAATTGTCAGTCATCTCAGACTCATGGCGACCCTGTGAATGAAAGCCCTCCAGATTGTCTTGTTCCTGACAGCCCTGCTCAGCTCTCATAAATGCAAGACTGTGGCTGCAATTATGGAATCCATCCATCTTGTATTTGGCCTTCCTTTTCTTCTTCTGCCTTTGACTTTCCCCAGCACGATTGTCTTCCCCAGGGAACCTTGGCTTCTCATGATGTGTCCAAAGTAGGACAGCTTCATCTTTGTCATTTCTAGGGAAAGCTCAGGCTTGAGCTGCAGAAGTACTGGAGTAGATTACCATCAGGAATGGCAGTCATTTTTCCTTTCCAAAAGAAACAGTGGCATCTCTGAGCACATGATGACTTTTTACCTGGAAAGGAATTATTTTTTAAATGGCCACAAGATTTTAGATATATTTTTTCTCCCAGAAACCATTGTTTTTCAGCAAATATACCCAAATAGGAAGTCTGAGGCAGTCCCCTGCAGCCAGGGACTCAAGTCCCTCTGCCTGATTCAACCATTCACCTTGGTCTGGGCAACTGGATTTAGCACTGATTCCTTCAAAAAACACACCAACCTTGTGGGAAGAGTTCATTCATAAAAAAGGAAGGAGTAAGGGGAAAGGAAAGGAGAAAGGGTAAAAGGCAACTCAGGAATCCAGAGTAAAACACTAAAATTAAGACCCCAATTCCAAAGAGTGTGCAGACATCACCCAGCAAAAATAGCAAATGTGTCCCTATTCACCATGACCTCCGTCATGGGTCTCCCATGAGCAGAAGTCACCAGACACATTCTTATCCTGAGGGAGACAAAAAACCTGCTCCAAATGTCAGTATTCCTGGGCCAAATGTCAGGCAAGGGTCATTCCCAGCAGCCACGTCCGCAGCCCAGGGGACTAACAGTACAATCTTATCCTTGCCTACTCAAGTCCTATTACATTAACAGGAAGTCCTATTAATGTAATAAGAATTACTGCATAAGTCTGTGTATTTAGGGCTGCAGCCTGTCAAACAAACAACACAAACATCTGTTACATATGTAGGCTATTCTGACACTTTTCCATTATGCCTTTTTTCTTGTAGCTTCGTATGAATAACTACCTCACTGATAGGTAATAATCCAAGTATTAACACCTTGTAAGGACACTTGGTTCAGCCATTCTAGTCCATATATTCAACAAGTAAACTCTTCATTGATAGAGTTTACTGTATTTCCATTAGCTAATTTCATCCCTGTAAACAGGACACTCAGTCAATAAAGATGAGCAAATCAAGGAACCAGTAAATCAACAAAATGAATTAATCTGCGAGTCAGTTAACAAGTCAGTCAGTCAATCAATCAAATATCTCATGGACTGAAAATCACAGAATCAGAATAGTAGAGTTGGAAGGGGCCAGGGGGCCATCAGTTCCCACCCTGCTGAGTAAAGCATTCCTCTCAGATGGCTGTCCAGTTGCATCCTCTCGTGTGGGAGAGCCCACCGTCTCCCTAGGTCATGGGCTCCATTGTTATACTGCTCTTACAGTCAGGAAAATTTTCCTGATAACTAGCTGGAATCTGACTTCCTGTAACTTGAGCACATTGTTCCATGTCCTGCACTCTGGGATGATCAAGAAGAGATCCTGGCCTTCCTCTCTGTGACAGACTTTCAAGTCCTTAGAGAGAGCCATCCTATGTCCCTTCAGTCTTCTCAAGGCTAAAGAGGCCCAGTTCTTTCAGTTACAATGCATACAAGTCAACAAGGGCTTGGGAAAGATTCCAACAGGTTCTCAGCGAAGGGGTGCCAAAGGGCTTGTTCTTTTGGTCCAGCCCCCTTTCTCTTGCACGCTTGCTTGCCCAAGCCCCTATTATCCCCCAGAAGACCCTGAGACCACGACCTCTGAAGTCCCTGTCTGCCCCCCCTTGCCTGCTCCCCCCACTCCAAGTTCATGTACATACTGCTTGCTCATGGAGCCCAGAAAGGTGGCGAGGAGAGGACGCAGCAGAAGAGATGAGTGTCTCTTGGGGCTGCCCACTCTTGCTCCCCACTGACATCCGCCAAACAGAAACATTCTAAAGACCTGGATTCCTGAGAGCCCGGCACAGCCCACAGCCTTGTGTTTTGGGGTGGGTGGCCACACTTGGAATTTTGTGAGGTAGCAGGGCATGCTCTAAAAAAGGGTTCCATGGAGGACATAGCTGGCCACAACACACACATTTCCCAGAGGGCAAACTGGTGATCCTGAAGGAAAAGCACCATCTCCAAACGCCTCAATGCAGAGATGGGGTCTGGACTGCAAAGCGCACAAAAACGCAGATGGCGCCGGGGGCAGCTCTGCACTCTCGCCTTCCGGTTCATGCAAAGAATCCTGAAGAGCACAGGCGCACACAGGAGAAAGTCCCAGACTCCCTGCTTGCCTCAGCTAGCCAAGACCAAGGCAGGAGCTGCAGGACTTTGTGCTGTCTTGCCCCACATAAGATCATGCCCTAAACAACTTAAGAAACATTCTGTGCCCTAAGAAGCTTTTAGGAAAGTAAAAACCAGGAGGGGCAGGAACTCAAGAAAGGCATCTGCAGGCACACTGGCCTTGTTCAGTCATGGGGACTGTGTTGGGAACCTGCGTCCTACAGCTCGGAGCCTGCAGCCCTTGGCCTGCACCCTTGCGGCACCCTACTTTGAAATAGGGCAGGGAGGAATGGCAGCCAAGCCAAGCCACACCAGAGCACAACTGGGAGAACTCCACGGTGGCTGCCTCCAACCTGGTGCTCCCAGATTTTTTGGATGCCAGCCCCTGGCAACTTTGGCCAGCATGGCCAGAGGCCAGGAATGCTGGGGTTCTGGTCCAAAACATTGGCAGGTCAGCAGCCCGGGGAAGATGGCTCAAGGGCTACCAAGCAGGAAGGGATCCTCTGTGGCTTTTTAAAGAACAAGGACCATGCAGCATTTTCCTGGATGACCCCTTGAGTTGCCAAGGTGCCAAAGTCTAGATTCTAACACTTGGTTTTCATGGAGAAAGGCAGAGAAGAATCCCACCCCACTGCCCGGGAGCTGGGGGATAAAAACCTTGTGTTCAAAGGCCATTCTTCTGCTTGCAAAGAAAATGGAAGAAGACACCTTGATAATGCACCCCGTTAAAAATGCCTTGTGCACTGAGATCCAAAATCCATAAGGTTTGTATTTGAGAGGAAGTGACTTTGTGCTTTCCCAGACTGGGCAGTTCCTGACCAGAAGGAAGGCATGTCATTGCCTATAGGAAAACTATCTGGCCTTATAAAGGGTTTTAAAAGGCTTGTGCAAATCTTGTGCGAACCCCCCCCCCCCCGCCTTCACATATCTCAGTCTTTGACTTCTCTTTTGCAGAACTGGGCTGCCTTCTCTGGTTTTCCAAATTGTAAAAAACTTTGGGAGGCGAGGAACCAAGCCATGTGAGCAGAAGCAGCCATTGCCCCTGCATCTAGTTGGGTTGAGTTGATACCTCTTTAAATCATGTCCTGACTTAAATGTAATTTTTGGTTTGGTGTCCTGTTGGGTTGCCATTATAATCATTCAAAGCACATGGACATATAATCGTTTGGCTGTGCAGCAGAAGAACCTGTCTAATGTGCTTAACAGAAATTAACCTGGTTAGAACAGTGCTCTCTTGAAGATGAGAGAGTGCTGAGCATCAAAATCAATGTCTTCACAGCCAAATGACTGCAGGGCTGGCTTTGAATTTCAGCTAAATGCCCTTAAACCACGATCCTAATTGTGTTATATTAAAGTCCCTGATCAGATAGTTCAGATGATGATATGATGGTTGTATTGGATGTGGATGACCAGGAGAACAAGAGATGACATCCAAGTAATTCCGTGGTAGAATTCCCTTTATGGAGGAAATGGCTTGAGGCCCCCCTCCCTTCGTTTAATCATAGGACGGTAGATTTGGAAGGGGTCTGTAAGATCCAACGAGTGCCCTGAAGCGTGCTGGACTACAACTGCCATCATTCCTAGCCAGCACGACTGCATCTCACTCCAGAGGCCCTTAGGGACAGAGTCCTAAGAAAGGAGAGCACAAGGGTTTGGAGCTCAGCATCCCTCCAAGAGAAGGAATCCGCCATGCAGGCAACTGTCCTCAGGTCATACTAGAGTCTCTGGGGCCCCAGCCTGCTTCTTCAGGGTGCTCATCTCACAGCGGGAGGCGAAGACTGAGCCCCGGCTGGGGCAGCCCACGGCTGTCAGGAGAGCCATGAGCCCCGGAACCGGGACTTCAGTCACCGGGACATGAGCGCCAGAGTTCCCCAGAGGCAACAGCCTGGGCTTTGCCTGCCCTGCACACCAGGCGGCCTCTGCCAGTTTTGCCAGGGAGACAGCTGGGAAGCAGGATGGGCCGTGGCGTCTCCCGCTTCTCCTCCTCACCAGCTTGGTTGTCTGCGAGAAGCACTGCTGCCTCCAGGAAGAGTTGGAGCAACTCCGGGGCCTGTTAGCAGTGGCTGCGCTGCTGGATGGCCCCTCAGCGGCTGCCCAACCTTGCCTGCTTCTGGTGCCGAGTCTGACCAGTGGCATCTCCAACCTGTGTCTGGCTCAACATTAGGGCAGCCCCCAAAGTCTACCTGCCCCCCTCCAGGGTTTTTGCAGTCCACCCTCTCCCTCTCCCTCTCTCTTTCCAAATATTTAATCGCCTCCCACACTCTCCTCATCCTGTTCCCTGCTGATAAATTATGATGATATTCTAAGGTATTCATAACCCTTTGCTGAATGATGTCTTTAAGTGCTTCAAGAGTGGACATTTTGCTTTGCAGTATCACGAGTCATCTTCTGGTTGGTAAAAACTCTTTTCCTTTTTAAAAGCCGGAACCTTACAGAGTTTCCTGCAGAAGAGGGGCTGAAGTCATTAGCTGTGAATTTAAAATGAAGCCGATTTACAATATATATCACAGAAATAGAGAATGCCATGAGTTGAGTAGTATTAAAATATTCTCTTGCTCGCTCACTCCCTGGCTTGTGCACAAAGGTACCCAAGCAGGGTTTAGTGGAGTCCTAAAATATATGGCTGCTCTTCCTATTTGGGCTAATCAGTATCTCTAGAATCTGATTCTGGCTCACTCTCAGATGTGATAACTGCTTTGCAAAGCAGGCGGGTCTTGAGCAGGAGCCATTGTAGTTACCGGCTGGGGCAGTCAAACACCCCAAAAGAGGAACAGCATCACCTAAAAGGAGGGCATTGCTTTGCAAAAAAATCAGCCCATGCTCATTCGTTGATATTGATGCAAATTTGGAAATAATAATTATTTTAATTTGAATAAGCCGCCTCACCATACCGACGGTGACCAGATGGCTTCCTGTGCACCTTGATTTTCAGTCCTGGCTGTAGGTGAGCTGCAGGGCTTTTGCATTGCTCAGGACTTGGACCAGGCAGCCGTCAAATAAAGAGTGCCTGTTGAAACGGAGGACCGTCCTCTGCAAAGGGCATGTGGCCTGCCCACAGTAGCAGCCCTGGCCTGATGAATGCCGGCTGCACAAGCCAAAAAGAAAGACAATGGCCTGAAATACTCCTTTGGCCAACAGTGCAACTGAGATGGGGAAAAAGGCACACGTACCTAGAAGTGGATTAAAAATAGCTGTTTGTTTTCTTGGGTACGTGTCTGGCCGTCGGCTGACCTGACCGCTGGCTGGCTCTCCATCCCGGGCAGTGAACTCAGATAATGTTTGGAGTGGCAGGAGAACTGGCTCACCATGGAATGGATGGGTAACGTGCGTCCCTCCTGTGGCCCCTGAGCTAGCCTGGCAGCTTGAAGAACCCCCCAGATGCTGAGTTGGGACTCCCCTGCTTTGGGGAACAGGAGGCTGCAAGCCCTATTTACTCCCTGAAATGGTTTGGCCCACTGCTTCCAGTACCTCCAAAGGACTGCTGCAAACTGCAGGTGCATGGTGGACTCGGACATGTTGCCACCCTGCCTGCCAGCCCCACTGTGGGAAGGACCATCGCTCGCTCCTAGGAGCCCCTGCTCTGCATGCAGACATGGTCCCAGGTTCACTCCCTGGCATCTCCATGCAGGGCTAGGAAAGAGCCCCACCGAGCACCCAGTGGCTGGCTGTTGCCAATCAGTGCTGACAATCCCAGGAAAGATGGACCAGTGGTTAGCACTGGGCATCTCCCTATGTTCTGCCATCCTCTTCCTGCACCCCACGGGATGCCACAAATGGGGAACCCGCCACCAGTTAATCAGCTTCGTTTCTGCAGTAGCAGATTTTAATTTGGCATACAGATGAACTAATTAATAATGGATGCAGTACTGCATTAATCTAATTGTATTATTTTCAGATGTATACATAAGTTTGTGATGCAGCTGCATAAATGCATAGCGTTGCAATCAGATATTTAAAAGAAAACAGAGACACAAATAGGAACTTACACTAGGCTTTTCAGTGTATGGGTGCCCAGCATGTATTAAAAGTGACCAGTATCGCAAGGTATGGGCATCCAGGTCATGAACCCAATATTGCAAAGTTCATTGGCATCCCCTTGTTGGCCTCTGTGCATGCTCACACCCACAAGAGGTTGCTGAGGCTGCCCCTATGGGGCCTTTTCACACCTGCAGCCACCATGTGCAATTTCATACACTTCACCCGAACGATGCCACCTGGTGGAGCTTCCAAAACTGTGCTTGGATAGCCCATTAGAGGACCAGCTGACACATCTGGTGACAATGGCTGGGACTGTTTCATGCGGAAAAGCATCAGCTCTGGGGAACTGCAGTGGAGATGTGCAAAACCATGCACAGGTGTGAGAAACCTCTGGCAGGGAAACATTACTATTGTATTTCAATGTATTTTATCATGTTGTAAGCCGCCCCGAGGTTTCGGCAAGGGGCGGCATAGAAATGTTATAATAATAATAATAATAATAATAATAATAATAATAATAATGATAATAATAATAATAATTCTGTGCTCTCTTGCATATTGGGCAATTCGGGATCGTTAGAAGGAAATTCTTCTTCGCATGGTGCACAGTTAAACTACGCAATTTGCTACTGAAAGATCAAGGTGATGGGCACCAATCTGGATGGCTTTCGAAGGGGAGTATACCACTTAATGGAGGAGAAGTCCATGCCTCCCACATGCATCCATACACCACTTGCTGGCCAAGGCGGGGAGGGGCCTGTGGCTTTCAGGGCCTGTTTGTGGGCTTCTCACAGGGGTCTGGTTGGCCTCTGTGCAAACACGGCTCTGGATCAAAGGCAGCTTTGCTCTGATTCAGCGCAGCCACTTAACCTTCTGCTTACAATGCAGGAGACGTGGACGTGGTGTGGGAATAAAGGTATTATGGGTATGTCCCTATTTTTATGTGCAAAAGGCTGAAATGTGTTTAGGATTGGTCAAAACGCATCCAACAAGGCCACAGGGCCGTGCGTTTTCAGTTCAAGAGAGCGCTTGTTCCCTGACGTTCGCAGTGTCGTGTCCCAGGGACAGAAACAACCAAGCGCCCGGTCATGTGAACCGGTTCTTTGGTGTACAGAGGAATGTCACACTGCCGCCATGCACCTGTGCCTGGAGAACAGTCAGTCACTGAGCCCTCCACCCCCCCGTCCCGAAAACGGGGGCATCGTGTCACAGGAAATGAGCAAAAGGAGAGCAAACTCTCCCAGGCACTCAGAGAAAGATAATGTAATGCTTCCCTCAGATCAATGTGGATTTTGGTTTGTGAGTTATTAGGCCAAGGTCATAAACAACCCCTGAAACCACAAAAGTAAAAAAAATAAAAAAAAATCTTCATTTATCTCCTGTGCTGCCTTTTCACAGCCTCCCCTCCCCAATTCTTTTCAGTCCAAAAAACACCCTTAAACATCTATTTCCTACTGCACGGGCCACATCCTTCTGTGCACAAACAGATCCTGCAGGATCTGGAGCCTAAAGAGCTGATCTGAGAACTCGTTTTTCTTCCATGATCGTCCATAGCAGGGGGAAAGGCCTTTCGGAACAGCTGGAGCAGAAGTGCCACCAGGAAGAAGCCTGGGCCACTTCAGGAGCCCTCCAGGGGGGCAGCTGCTTGATTCCAGGGTCCATTACCAGGCCTTGGTAGCAGCACTTCTGGGCAATTGTGGCAGCCGCCTCTGGATTGCAAGAGAGAGGGAGAGAGGCCCCACTTAGTCTTGAAGCTCACGCAATTACTCTCAGCCTAACTTCCCTCACAGGGCTTGCTCTTGTTGGCTCTTGCTTGCCAACAAGTTGTCTCTGATAACACATAATGACCTTATGAATGAGAGCTGTCCAAAACGTCTGTCCACAACAGCTCTGTTCAGCTCTTCCAGATTCGAGGCTGTGGCTTCCTGTATGGATTCCATCTTGTATTTGGTTTTCCCTTTCTTCTTCTGCCTTTGACCTTCCCTGGCATGATGGTCTTCTCTAGGGACCTTTTTGCCTCCTCATGATCTGTCCAAATCATGTTAGTCCCAGATTTGTCATTTTTGCTTCTAGGGAAAGCTCTGGCTTGATTTGATCCAAGATGCAATTCACAGCGTTCTGGGAGGACAGAACGGAGGAGAGGAGAACCATGTGGGTCAATTGGAGTTCCTTACAAGAGGAAAAGGGCTGAGATAGAAATTTAATAATAAATAAAACTTACAGAAACTTTTCTTTTTTTCTTCATTTATTTCTAAGCAAGAATAATTATACAACATGTGGAAAATTCCAGAATGGTCAAGATTAACTGTCAGTGTAATCCTACATTTGTCTATGCAGGTAAGTTTTACTTAATTCAGTCAGACTTACTCTTTGATAAGTAGGTATGGCATTGCATCCTTATGGACTTACCTGGGAGTAAGTTCCCTTTGAACTCAGGCAGTCTTAGTTCTGTGTAGATACATATAAGATTGTATGGTAGAGATTACTCTTAAGGGAGGAAACAAGGAAAACTTTTGAATGGTTTGGTACAACTTATTTATTTACTTATTTTGGTAAATAGTGTTGCCACCTTGATTTAAGCAAGTATGGTGATCCCTGCTATTTTAATATTGTGATTTCAGGACCTGGGAGAGCTGCCACAGGCTGCTGAAGTTGCTCTGATCAAATCCAAGTGCTTGGTGAGCATTACAGTCACATCTGTGGAATTTAAAAGGCTGTCATTCTAGCTTGTAGCTGGAAGATGCCATTTGCCTCTTCCATTAGGGGAGAGAACAGAGGCCTTTCAGGTCTGGGCTGCTACTGCAGGCAGTAGCAGGCCTGGGGCCTGGGTAGCCCTGCAAATGCTGGCAGAACTGGGGACACCAGTGAGCTCTGGCTGTGGGCGGTATAGCAATGTAATGTAGTTGTAGTAATAATATTAATAGCGGTACTTCATTTCTTTCCCAGCTGCTGGTAGGGAGACACAAAGGTGGGAGGGGCAGAGTACCTTGGCAGGTGCCAAGAAGGTGTTTGCTTGCCTCTGGTCTCGAAGAACAAATAACTTGAGCTGGTGCAAGGCCGCTTGCTAGGATTCTAGGACCTTTGAAGGATGTCAGTCTTCTGAGCCATGGCATGGCCTTCTTTGCTCTGCTGGTTGCTTAGTACCATAGCTTAGTGGCAAAGGCCCTGCTGTACTGTTGGCTAGGAGATGCTGCATCCTACCCTTGACAGCCCTGCTCAGCTCTTGCAACTTCAAGGCTGTGGCTTCCTTTACAAAGTCCATCCATCTCATGCCTGGTCTTCTTTTTCATCTGCAGCCTTTAACTTTCCCAAGCATGACGCTCTTCTCCAGAAACGTTTTGCCTAAACATGTGTTGGTGCTGCATTAAAAGAACACACAGAACAAAACCAAAACAAAATCCTACTGGACCACAAGAAAAGACACCCACGCTCTCCTTTGGACCACCCACCCCATGCCCTTCCGCAGTGCTCTGAGAATTTGTGTGTTTTTCCCTTCCCCACTGAGACACATTCAAGTTCTGCTCCAGCCTGCTCTGTCCTTGAAAATACAGCTGCATGATTTAGTTTCCTGCTTGGACATGATACAATTTTGACTCCTGTGATAGACAGGGAGTGAGCAGAATGCAGCAAAAAGCCGCAAAACTGGATTCTCTTTGAAAAGAACCAGCTAATGATTGCTTTCCTTGCATCTGTCTAGGTGAAAAACACACTTATGCTGTCAATATGGATTACAGGGTAGATGGGTGCCAGGAACTAGCTCAAATGGAGCTTCTTTAAAACATGCATTGATGAAGATGATTATGGCTCCATTTTGCCATGAGAGGTGAGATCAGCCTGTATCCCTGTAGTGCACAACAATGGCTAGAAACATCAGGCAGGTATCTGTCATTTTAGGGAAACTGTTTTGGTCCTTGCATTTGTGAGCCTTAACCCTAACATGCAGAAGGCAAGCTGGATCTGCACAGATGCTCCATTCTCTATTTTCTTACATTTCTCCTTGGTAAAATACTCTATATTCTGCCTCTCCTTTGCTTTTGAGAAAGAGGTTGAATTCCTAGACTCCCTCCCTACCTCCCTCCCTCTCACACATCCTATCCTTTCACACACAGAGACATGCTGCTTCTGATCAATTCACACACATCAGTTCATATTCCTTCACCCCCACATCAACCTGAGTGACTTGAAAGATAACTTAGAAAGCAGTTGCGTATCTGAGGATGCAGTCTGCAGTACATAAAAACATAGGCTATGACAAATGGACAAATCATCCATATGCCACAAAATTCTTCATTGCTTTTATGACAACTCCCTCTATGAATATCATGCATCGTGGGAGTTGGACTACAACTCTCATCATTCCACAGACAGCATAGCCAATAGCTGGGAATCCTGGGAGTTGTAGATTAAAACATCTGGAAAGCAGCAGGTTGATGAAAGATGGATGAGCACAAGGGTGACATGGCAGAGATGCGTCATTTCAACTTTACATTTGACTTTCTGTTGTTATGTGATCGAGAAGGTGGAATCTCTGCTGACCTGCTTTGAACCACCCTGAGATCTACCAGCAGATCCCGATGGGCCTCCTGCCGGCTTGTATGAAAAGCCTCACGGAGAAGCGCCCTGCAGGTGCCAGTGGGAAGACCTAAGAGGATGAGCGGGGCCGTCTCGCTGAGCAATGGCCCTTTTCATCTGATTAAATGAAATCCGCTGCTCTGGAAGCTTTTGAGCCAGTTCATTAAAATGAATTCAGTCCCATGGAATGGACTCCTCATTTGCTGACATCGATTCTTTAATTGCATTTGACCATATGCCCTAGACTCTCTGTTTTCTTTAATGGATGCTCATGCTTATGAATTTTGCTCTGGTGGAGTAATACTTTGACTGGTGAGAAGCAGAGAGAGAAACAGAGAGATAGTCGTCTGGACCGAGCAAAACGCACCTGCAGAATTGGTGGTGCTGAATGTTGGCTTCCCCGAGCCGAACCGCTCCTGATGCAGGAGCAGCAGCTGGTGCTCGGCACGGGTCTGCCGACATATTCCCTGCTCGGCATGTCACCCAGTGGGGCTTGGAACAGGATCATGATGGGCTACTGGGAGGGGCCCAGTAGAGGAGAGGATTGTGGGTAGCTCAAGGCAGGTACGAACTTCACAGAGAAGTCTCTTCTCCTGGAATCATGTGTTCCTGAAAAGCCCAGTCCAATGGGGGGGTCACTCCGTGACCAACCTTTTTCAGTCCGAGGGCCAGATTCCATGTTGCAGAAGTGGGATTCCATTGCAGTCCATGCCCAGGGACACAGGCTACAATGGGTAGGGCTGAGAAACACAACTCTGTCAAGCACCGTTGGTACAACTTACTGGAGAAAACAAGTCTACTCAGGAGCAAGCATGAGCAGCATGCCTACTCAGAAATAAGGTAGACAAGCTTCCGAAGTTCTACTCGGAAGTAAGCAGGACTACATCAGCAGCACCTTCAAAGAGCATACAAAATATTAAGTCTCGGTATGTCTATTCATGAGTAACTATGAGCCGCAGGTCTACCCACAAGTAAACATATCTATAGCTTCTCTATAGGCTGAAATGGCTGTTCCTGCCTGGGGCTGGGGCTGGTTGAAATCTGGATGGGTGACTTAATGTTGGGAACCATCCAGACAACTTGGGCTATGGGTGGCATAGAAATTTGAGGAGGAGGAGGAGGAGAAGACGAAGACGGAGAAGACTCACCACCACCATCATGAGCAGCCCCTGGATGTGTGCTCACAGCTCTTGGCTTGTTGTAAGGAATCAAGAAAGAATTGCTTAGCAGTGCTCTTTCACAAGCATCCCAAACATCAAGGCTACTCAGATTTATGAATGGGCATCATGGCCACTCAGAGGTAAGCAGGGCAAATGCTTGCATGACTTCTCAGAAGGCAGTGGGGCCGTTTTCTCTGCAGTTTTCCCCCTTGGCTGTGCTTTCTCTCATTTCCCATGGACAGCTGAACAGGAGTCCCTTCCAGAGCTAAGCAAAGACAAGCAGGTACAGGTGCTCAGGAGATACAGGCCTTGTAAGGCCCCAGGCTGGACCTTTGCCATCCATGCTGTCGCTTTCCTAATATAGTTGCCAGATCATAAGTGTTGAGGTTCTGGGATCGATTCTTAGGGCTTCAAGGCCTGATAAACAGACTGTTCCCTCATGTGGTGCAGTTCCCATCTTCAGGGAGCAGCTGGTGTGGTTCTTTCCCATGGAATGGGCTTCCATGGGAGGTGGTTGAGGTCCCATTGGTGAAGGTGTTCAAGGATAGGCTAGACATGTACATGATGGGCATGTCATGAGCGGAGCTGGCTGGAGCCGGGGGTCAGACTAGGTGGCCTGGGAGACCCTTTCAGACTCACTCTGTTTCTGTGTGTCTATGTTTCCATCCCAGCTGTGAAGGGGATCCAGGGGCTGGAGGTCCAATTCCATCTCTGAGTCAGAGTCTCCTCAGCCAAGGATCTGACCAATCTTATGGCGCCTCAGATGCTATCTAGGGGCTGTTGGATTCCTTACTCAGACTTAAGGGTGCAATCCTAAACACATCGGGGAGTAGATACTTTCCAACTCAGAGGAATTTATTTGTTTGCAAATGGGCTTGTATATGATGATGTTGTTTGGTGATTAATGTATGGATTTGATTTAAACCATCTAAAGCCTGCAGACACACTTTTCCATAGCAAAACTATTGAGCACTTGGTATCTGTTATGTATTTAAAATATTTATATTTCACTCTTCCATTGTAAAAAGAATCTCTTATAACAGCTTCAAACATACTGTAAACATGAAAAGCACTCCACCAACAGCAAACATATACAAATGCAAGTGTTCTGGTGCTGGTGTATCATTGCGATTGCTGTAGAGACACATCTTCGTTTTGCATCGCTCTTCTTGGGAGTGAGCTGCTTTGGGCTCATGATGCGCAGTTCAGAATAAGGAAGTGTGGAATAATGCATGTTGGGGCTAAAAATTCCAACTCACAAGTATACCTGGGTGGGATCTGAGCTAGCAGTGACTGAGCAAGAAAGGGATCCTGGGGTAGTGGTGGAGAGCGTCATGAAAATGTCGGCCTGATGCTCAGCTGCTGTGAAGAAGGCAAATTCCATGCTAGGCATAATTAGGAACCAAGTAGAAAATGGAACTGCCAACTAACTTCCCATCATCCATGGTCATGGTGCCATGAGGGTGTTTTGGTCCATATCTGGCAGATACCAGATTGCGGTGGAGCTGGCCTAAAGGAACACATTCAATACAACTTTTCAACTTGGCAGGCCAAATGCCTTTGAAGGAGATGCATCTTGACCAGTTGGCACAGGACCAGATAAGCTAAGATGGAGCAAAGGAATTTTCTAGGCTGAGAGTTCCATGAATTAAGGTGCAGCCACTGAGAAGGCCCTGTCCCATATTACAGCTAGTCACGTGTCTGCCACTGATAGAGTGCAGAGAAGAACCTCTATTGCAGATCTTTAAAAATGAGTGGGCTTATATGCATGGAGATGGACCTTATCACTCGCTCCATCCAAAAAATCATTAGAGATCTGCAAGCAAATGCAAATATATAGACTCTGATGCATCAGGCACACGTCAAGCGCACTGTTCGGTCACGATAATCACCTCTACAGTCTTTGGCTTGCTGTTTACCACTCATGATGGGTTCCTGACTGCTCCCTCTGTGCAGAGGGCTACTCTCAAAGTCATCTTATTCACATGTTTGGTTTGCAAAGCAGAAGAAATAACCCCTGGACGCATTCAGAGGGGCTAAAACAGAAGAAAACAAAAGTCCATCCAATGCCTGCACCCAGAACACTGCTGCAGAGGCAGAAATATTGAAGTCTATTTCTTAAAAATATTTTGTGCTGTTTGCAGAGGTAAGAGGAAGTCGAGCAGGCGTCTCACGACACTCACTTCCTTCCTGGGCAAGGGTTAGGAGGGAGCGTCCAAAATCAAGGGGGAGGCAGCGAGGAACAGAAAGCCCCTTCACAGTCTGACGGAATCTGACATGGGCCATTGAGCTGCCCAAGTGGCGTTTACAGCGAAAGATCTGGAAAAGAAAATAAATCTCCAAGCATGGCAGCTTGCTTTAATTAACAACATAATCAAGCTTTTGGCTCGGAGGAATGGATCTGTGTTTCAATGGTGGACGCAGCCCCTGTGAATGGAGCGAGGACCAGCCTGGCCTTGCTGGATAGAGTAACACGTGAACTGGGACCATGACACCAGCCTGCCTTCTGTGCGGACGCCAGAATAAATCCAAGCTGGGATCGTTCCATACCGCTCTCCCTGCTGAGCATCACACACCAAATTCCTTTGTCGGAGCAGAGGGGGGCTATCTGGAAACCTGGAGCAATGTCTAATTGCTGAGAGGGAAAGAAAATTGTGGTTTGGCTTACGACAGCATTTTTAAAATTAGGGGTTTTTTACATCCTGGAAATGGCACATTGCTCTGGACAGAATAAATACATGCTACTGATAAAGGCATGTTCCTAAGTGCTCCACAAAGAGTTCTCAATAGCTCTTACAACAAGTCTGTCAGAGCCCACTACAGGGTGGCCGTACATTAAGAACAGTCCTCTATTAAAGAGCTGCTAGAGGGCCAGCTTCTGTCAGAAGGAATTTGAGGGGCTGCCCTGCCCAATTTTGGTTCAAAGAATTCTGACACCTGTCACCCATCACCTCTTGGCACCTGAATAGCCAACTGATCAGGCAGGCAAGGAGGACACCTGAGCATCGTCTTCTGCACTTTAGTGTGCTGTTCTGCATCTCCATTTGTATTCGTTTCTAATAAAATTCTGCCTTGCATTTCTAAGCATATATCAATTATCTTACCCAAACCACGACCCTCTTTTCGTCTCTGTTTTGGTGCTGCATGTTCCTCTGTTCCTGCAATTCAAAGGTGACCTTCTCCTTCCCATCCTCATGTTTTACCTTTTTGCCATGAAAACAAGAACATCTTCCTACTCAGCCCGCCACCCTTGTTTCCCCAAATGCACCAGAAATGCAGCATTTCAGAGCTTTATAAGGGCAACCTCTCTGTCAAAGCATGGCAATTTGCTAGGACCGGAACAACTTTCCTTAGCTGGACAGGCCATTACCAGGTAAGAAGGGCAACATATTTGATGGTTTTCTGTCCTTCCAGTCATGGGAGCTTGGTTGCTATGCTGTTGCCCCACAAGCCTGGAGGAGCGTATTTTTTCTTATTTTTGGCTCGTCCCAAAGAGTGAGTTTTCTTTTTAAGTTTGCTTAATAATATGTACACATTTTTGCACACTTTTGCTTATCCATGCATGTATCTATGCAATGTTTCCTTCAAACACATGTTGGTTTGCATGTAATTCTCCCTGTGTACATCTTTTCTCATGTACATATTTGCATGCAATTTTGGGACGGGAAAAGTCCATTGAAAATCTGGAGAAGTGCCAGTTTGGAAGGACAAAGGAGTTTTGGTTTGCAGGTAGGTTCAGAGGTGCAAAATTAGGTTACTTGAATTGCAGTGTGAATGGAACCACTGTCTCCCTCATTGCTAGCTGCTCCAATAGGCACTGAGGGGACCAGCTCCCATCCAGATGCCCACACAGAAAACAAGTTCAGGATAATACCTTGCTGATGGTTCCCAGAACCCCAGAGCAGCCCTGCACTGCCTCTTTGCTCCTGAGCAATGCCCCTGTGGTTGTTTGGTTTCCTTAAAAATAAGTCTAGGGAAAGTAACAGACAACTGCATGTAAAGGGGAGCTTGGCCTGAAGGAATTA